TTCACTAACACGTAACACAACAGATGCATATTTTTTTTTTTTATTGTCAAATGTGCCGATCAATATGTGACTTTGTGAAACGGACTGTCCTTAACTAAAATTTTGCTATAGTTGTAATTCTAGAAAGCCTATGCACTTGGCATTTGTGATAAAAAAGGTGTGTTCTATTTCATCATTAAAATCCATTTTCATATTCATCTTTTCATCAAATAGGAATTTTACTGAAACGTTATTGGAGTACCTGTTATTAAAGGCACAGTTTATCAAAAAAACAAAACAATTTTTGCACATTTGAGTTTCCACAAGAACCAATGAGGTTTGAGTGTCATATTTGAGTGCTCTAATGTTTTTCACCAAATAACACACAAGTATTGGAATTTAAATAATCATTATCATTTTACTTTCTTAAAGGGACAGTTCACTTTGAAATTAATTTTTGATATGTTTTATCTTACCTCAAGGGCATCCAAGATGTAGGTGTCTTTGTTTCCACAGTAAATTTCAATTTTGACATTTTTCGGTCAAACTGGTGTTGTCTGTCAGTCATATAATGGAGGTCTATGGTCACCAACTCAAAGAGCATGCACAGAGAAGTCCAAATTAAACATGATTTAATGACTCGTGAATGTAAGCACACATTGATGGCCTAAGACACGAAACAAGTGGCTTTTGTGAGAAAACAAACAGTATTTATATCGTTTTTACCTCTTGTTAATAGCCGTCGAACTGATCTGAATCAGATGTCCAACTGAACCGAACTGAACCGTGTCCAACGTTACGCCGCAAGTGATCATTCACGCGTCTACGTCACGCATTGTTTACACAGATTTCGGAAGTTTTGCCTTTCACTAAACATTTAGATATACGGGAAATCGCAATGGAAGACGATTTTGATATATCTAAGTATATTTAGTATATACCACCTCAAAGAGCATGCACAGAGAAGTTCAAATTAAACACGATTTAATGACTTGTAAATGTGCACATTGATGGCCTAAGACACGAAAACGAACGGTATTTATATCGTTTTTTACCTCTTGTAACAATAGTCACAATAGCGCCCTCGCCCTCAGATCACTTGGACGTGGCTGTGGTTACAATTAAGTAAAAACGATATAAATACTGTTCGATTTCTCACAACAAACTGCTCGTTTCGTATCTTAGGCCATCAATGTGTACTTACATTTACGAGTCATTAAATCATGTTTAATTGGACTTCTCTGTGCATGCTCTTTGAGGTGGTGACCATAGACCTGCATTATATAACTGACAAACAAGAACGGTTTGACCTAAAAATATCAAAATTGAAAATACTGCGGAAACCTCCATCTACATCTTGGATGCCCTTGAGGTAAGCTAAAACATACCAAAAATGAATTTCAAAGTGAACTATCCCTTTAAATGCAATGAATTGTTCTAATAACATTTCCAGTCTGACGGTTCTGTCAACGAGCCCTTCATGTCCTCTCTCTTTCTCTCACGGTGAGTGCGCGTGCAGGTGAAATTATGTTTGATTAACGTTTCGGAAGGAACACGTTCAAATGATTTATCCCAATCAGCACGAGAGGAGGCCTATACATATACGACGCTGACCTAATGTTCCGTGACAGTTTTCAGCATCCCTCTCCGCCACCCGACTCCTCACTCTAGGCTGGTTTCTATCAGAGCCAGGGAGGGATACGTGGGGAGTACTCTGAATACAAAGCCATCTCTTCGGACAGCTCGCCAAATACACATACTTCTTTTAATCTGATTATTTGTGTGAAACTTGTGAAATTATGTCTGTGCTAAACTTATTTTAACTCAATTACATTATAGTACAATTGAGCCATGGGCTAATTAAAGGCATTTTTTAGTTGTCTCTCGTGAAATTTGGTTTCATATGCTAGCATTGTAGAGGGTGCAGAGGTGCTCAGAGCATGCGTGTGCGTGTGTGCAAACCTGTTGGTTTGGATGTCTTTGGCAAAATGTTTGTGGTGTATAATACGACTATTAGCCAGTCTAAAATATGTTTGAGTAGGAGTAAAAATGATTATGTAGAAACAGAAGGACAATGAGCGAGAAAGGGAACAGAGCCTGCCAGAGACATGAACGAATAGAGCTGTTTTCCGTTCAAGGCCCACATATACACACACACACGAGGGAATGTTAGGATGATGAAAGAGGAAGTGTAAACAGGAGAAAATAGTGACTTATTATTCAATCTCAGTCCCATCATGCATCCACGTTTCTACAAAACACAAGTTACTTTGTTTTCCCATTTATTGACTGGCAGCTCTCTTATCCCCATGTTGAGAGGAAGCGTAAAATGCGGAGTCGTTGTGTGTCCTGTGTAAATATGATGTTATTGTTGTTCTAGACTAAATGAGCATGCATTTACTCACATCACTTGCACAGAAACAGATTCAGTATTCCTCAAAATGAATTAAAAACAGTAACGTGCAAACTCAGAATATTACACAAACCTGCAATAATTAAATATGTTAAATAATATACAAATATGCTTTGTGTATTTAATCTTACTTTATTAACTAGAGTCTTTGCTGCTGCAATGATCCAATTTCAGTCATACCAATAATATGCAAAAAAAAAATGACTTTACAGAGATGTTTAATTATTTTTTATTGCTGATGTGTTTAACTTTATTCTCCTGTGGGGTCACTATATGAGTACATGAATGCATGAATTTCATCTGCAGAGCTGCTCTGAGAGATTTCACCATTTCATTCGATAAAATCATTCATCATATCACTTACGTACACACAGAAACTCAAGAGGCCTTCATTTTATACAACCTTGCTGATGTGTGTGTCTGTGTTTTACTTTTCAGTATGTCTTGGGACAGATATGAAGCTGGCTTTACCCTCCAGTCTCGAGAATCATTATGAGATGCTCAGGCTGCTGTACACGGGCTGTCAAGTTGTTCATGGTAACCTGGAGATCACGCATTTGCAGGGAACTCCAGACCTCTCCTTTTTGCAGGTACGGGACTGTCGTGTGTGTGTGTTAGGGTAGCTCTTTATTATACAGCAGGTAGATTTCTTTGGTGCTCAAGCATTTCCAAACTCACTCATGTTCATTTTCTTGCCAGTGTGTAAATAATCACATTATAATGAATAATGTGTGCCTAAGTTTAACCAGAACATATTTCTTAAAAGTCTGCAATACCATTTTATAGAGATACTTCAAGTTTAAAGGGTTAGTTCACCCAAAAATTAAAATTAAGTCATTAATTACTCACCCCCATGCTGTACCAACCCCGTAAGACCTTCGTTCATCTTCGGGACACAAATAAAGATATTTTTTGATTGAATCTGAGAGCTGGATCACTCTCCATTGGCTTCCTAAGGAACTGGCTCTTGACGGCCCATAAAGTCATTAAAGAAAAGGTTTAAATATTCCATGTGCCTACAGCGGCTCAATTATAAGTTTATCAAGCGACGAGATACTTTTTGTGCGAAAAAAACATAAATAACGACTTAATTTCGACTATTCCATTACTTCCTTATGGGCGCATGCGCGAGAACTGAGACGAGGACGTTCTCATTCGTTCTACTTCTTGTTACCGGGCTGCTCACCGCTTAGGAGTTTTTACCGCCACCTACCGTATAAAATGATGATCCATATATAAGGCGCTCCGGATTATAAGGAACACTGTCGTTTTTGAGAAAGATTAAAGGCTTTTTACGTGCACCTTATAGTGCGGAAAATACGCTAATTGAAAAGCGTATGTACAGCGCGCATCTTCCTCTGCTTGTAAACAGAAAGTTTTGCGCTTCCAGCTATATCAGCACATCATCTTATACGGTAGGGGGCGGTAAAACTCCTAAGCGGTGAGCAGCCGGTAACAAGAAGTAGACGAATGAAAACGTCCTCGTCTCAGTTCTCGCGCATGCGCCCATAAGAAAGTAATGGAATAGTCGAATAAAGTCGTTATTTATGTTTTTTTCGCACAAAAAGTAGTCTCGTCGCTTGATAAACTTATAATTGAGCCGCTGTAGGCACATGGAATATTTAAACCTTTTCTTTAATGACTTTATGGGCCGTCAAGAGCCAGTCCCTTAGGCAGTCTATCTAGGACTGATCCAGCTCTCAGATTCAATAAAAAATATCTTTATTTGTGTCCCGAAGATGAACGAAGGTCTTACGGGGTTGGAACAGCATGGGGGTGAGTAATTAATGACTTAATTTTCATTTTTGGGTGAACTAACCCTTTAAATTTCATAGGCATTATCATTTTTTCAAAAGTTCACAGCTCAAAGGAACTGCATTACATGAATGGCCCACCCTAACATCCTATTTCAAGTAAAAGTTTGCCTTTAAATGTAATTTGGCTTTAGAAAGGTTCATGAGTTCTTACACAACTGATAAGAACAATAGAATTGCCACTCACTAATAATGAGTCTCAAATGTCAATAAAATAATCAAAAATGAAAGGATGCTCATGTTTGTCTGTAGGAGATTGTGGAGGTTCAGGGGTATGTGCTGATAGCTCACGTCTCAGTGGGTTCAGTTCCTCTGGACAATCTGCGGATCATACGAGGCAGTCAGCTGTATAACTCCAGCTACGCTCTCGCAGTGCATAACAACATCAACCAGAGTCAGCTGGGACTCGGCCTGAGAGAACTACGCCTCAGGAGTCTTACAGGTAAGGAGTGTTGGACTTTCAGTCAAATTTATATTGGGTTATTATAGATTTAAGAGTGAAAGTCTTACTTTCTTACTACTGAAAGTACTACTTTCATTTTTTTTCAGTCTATTTCAGTTAAAGGAGTAGTTCATTAAAAAAAAAAAAACTTTGCTGATAATTTACTCACCCCCATGTCATCCAAGATATCCATGTCATTCTTCAGTCGAAAAGAAATTAAGGTTTTTGATGAAAACATTCCAGGATTTTTCTCCATATAATGCACTTTACTGGGAACCAAACGGTACAAGGTCCAAATGAGAGTTTCAGTGCAAACTGTTCAAAGGGCTTTAAATGATTCCAGACGATGATTAAGGGTCTTATCAAGCGAAACGATCGCTCATTTAAAAAAAAAAATCACAAAGTTTAAGTTTTATAAGCACAAATGCTCGCCTTGCTCAGTTCTGTGATGCACGTTTGTGACTCTCCTGTTCGAACTCGTTCATCAAAATGAACAAATCTTTTTCCGAGTCAATTCGCTCATTTTGTTTGTTGAATCAACCAAATGACTCAAAAAAAGATTCTTGACATTACTAAGATGACACAACCTGTCATAAACATGACATAGCAGATTAATTATCCACTTAGCTTTATTGGTTAACATTACATTGAACTGTTAGGTGGTTGGTTTTGACATTGGCTGTCATGAGGCCATTATAACTTTTTAATGACAAATTCAGTTAGTATCACTGTATTTGAGGTCACGAAAAATATTAATGACACCGTTATAATGGTCTCATGACAGCCAATGTCAAAGCCAACAACATGACAGTTTAACTTCATTTTATGACAAAAACACTGACAGGTTATGATGTAATAGTTTATGTCAAGATGTCATAACAAAGACATCTTAAACAATGTCATATTTGCATTCAAAATGTCATAACTGAGCGAATGACACTTAATGACAGTTGTCATAAACATGCATAAACCCTATTTCATATTCAAGACATATATCATGGTTATGAAGGTGTCACGTCAGTCTTGTACACACTCTTTGGAGTAAAGTGTTACCAATTCTAAAAAAAATTGTTGTACAGTCACGAAAACAAACCTTGTGAGTAAAATGATTGACTGTTTCACAGAAATCCTGCTCGGCGGGGTTTATATTTGGGGAAATCCTCTACTTTGCTTTCCCCAGAAGATTAATTGGAAAGACACCGTTCCAACACTTGAAAACAAACTGTTGTACCTGCAAGACATTCCAAAGAACTGTGAGTGAGCTATCATATTACACATTACACGATCCAATGCATCATTTACTTGTTATTGCTCAATAATAATGATCTGTTTTTCAGGTCCTCGATGTTCTTCTTCTTGTTCTGTGTCCGGTGGATGTTGGGGAGAAACAGATCAGGACTGCCAAACATGTGAGTGTCATTGACATATTTGTATTTTTTCGTGTTTGATGAAAATAGTTGCCATGATAATCAAGATTACCAGTCCATCTCATATTTAATAAATACATTTTCATGTCCCTAAAAGCTCTAGTTTATACAATATATTATAATAATCACATTGTTTTGTTGTCAATTTTTTATGATATTTTTTATGAGTTAATGTGTTGGACATTTTTGGTGCTCATCTGGTTCGGCACTTGTTTTGACAGTATTTAACCTATAAGAGTACATTTCTGATCAGTTCAATTCTGCATTCTCTATAAGAGAATAAATAGACACAGTTTGACCAGATTAGTATCTTACTATTTGTGTTTTGCCATGAAACGTAATGGAATTCTTCCTTCTGAATCTGGTCCGACCTGGTATGATACAGCATTGCATGTCCCTCTTTCTCTGCAGTGACCTCTGTGCAATGCTCGTCTGGCTGTCGGCGCTGTAAGGGTCCGAATCCCAACGATTGCTGTCATGTGCAGTGTGCTGCCGGGTGCACAGGGCCGAAAGACTCTGATTGTCTGGTAAAAAGATCATTAATATTGCATCTATGTCGTTCATGTCTAACTGACATAATGATATCAGTTTCATTCTATTTTTGCATGTTTAGGCCTGCCGTCACTTTAATGACAGTGGGACGTGTAAAGACAACTGCCCCCCGCCCACCATCTACGACCCAACCTCCTTCCAATCCAAACCTAACAAGGACAAAAAGTTCAGCTTTGGAGCCACATGTGTTAAACAGTGTCCCCGTATGTCAAGCGTTTGATTAGCTAACACTGCAAACAAAGGTCTTGCCTTTTCTTTCTCTTCGTATGTATTTATATATATACTGTACTCTCTACTTCTTTAGATAACTATTTGGCCATGGAAGTGGCATGTACAATGGTCTGTCCTAAATCTAACAAGGAAGTCATCACTGTCGACCCAGATGGACAAGAATCACAGAAATGTGAAAGGTGTGAGGGAGAGTGTCCAAAAGGTCTGTATATGTGTATGTTTTCAGCTGAAACATACATAGGATAATACATGGCTGCTAATGATTCTAGCTTGCTACACAAACTTGATTTTAAGTGTTGTTGTGTTCCAAATTCTGAGAGAATTTCTTAAAGGAGTAGTTCAATTTTAAAAAAAAACTTTTGCTGATAATTTACTCACCCCCATGTCATCCAAGATGTCCATGTCATTCTTTCTTCAGTCGAAAAGAAATTAAGGTTTTTGATGAAAACATTCCAGGATTTTTCTCCATATAATGGATTTTACTGGGAACCAAACAGGTCAAGGTCCAAAAGACAGTTTCAGTGCAAACTGTTCAAAGGGCTTTAAATGATTCCGGACAATGAATAAGGTTCTTATCAAGCGAAACGATCGCTCATTTAAAAAAAAAAAAAAAAGTTTAAGTTTTATAAGCTCAAATGGTCAACTTGCTCTGTTCTGTAATGCACGTTCGTGACTCTCCAGTTTGAACTCGTTTATCAAAATGAACAAATCTTTTTTCGTGTCATTTGGTTGATACAACAAACGAAATGAACGAATTGACTCGGAAAAAGATTCGTTCATTTTGATGAACGAGTTCGAACAGGAGAGTCATGAACGCGCATCACAAAACAGAGCAAGGCGACCATTTGAGCTTATAAAACTTCAACTTTGTTATTTTTTTCACTTGATAAGACCCTTATTCATCGTCTGGAATCGTTTAAAGCTCTTTGAACAGTTTGCACTGAAACTGTCTTTTGGACCTTGAACCGTTTGGTTCCCAGTAAAGTCCATTATATGGAGAAAAATCCTGGAATGTTTTCATCAAAAACTTTAATTTCTTTTCGACTGAAGAAAGAAAGAAATGGACATCTTGGATGACAACATGGAGGTGAGTAAGTTATCAGCAAAAGTTTTTTTTAAAAGTGATCTACTCTTTTAAGACAAGTTGTATTCTCAGAGTTCTTCCAAAATAGTGTCCTGTATATACACATACTACCATTCAAACGTTTGGAATAATTCAAATCAAAAAGGCTGCATTTATTTGATACATAATATAGTAAAAACAGTAATATAGACAATAACCCTTTTCTATATAAATATATTTTAAAATGTAATTTATTCCTGTGATGGCAAAGCTGAATTTTCAGCAGTCATTACTCCATCACTACATGTGATCATGTCACATGATCCTTCAAAAATCATTCTAATATATGCTGTTTAACATTTTTGTGTAAACCGAGATACACTACAATGCATTAAATTGATCAAAAGTTAAACATAATTATTCCAAACTTTTGACCGGTAGCGTATTAAATTAATAATATGTCTGCACAATTTCTTTTATTCTTATAGTAGTATTCATTTATGCATGTTCTGTCTGTTAGTGTGTTATGGGCTAGGAATGGGAAGCCTTCAGGGGGTGACAGTGGTGGACTCCACCAACATTGGCATGTTCATTGGCTGTGAGAAGATCTACGGCAGTTTGGCTTTTCTTTCAGACTCCTTCAAAGCGTAAGCAAGGAACTCTTTCACCTACAAATTACAATGCCGTGATCTACTCAGCCATTATTTTGCTCGTCCTCTTGCGTCTGTGAAATGAAAATGAAAAAAAATGAAGATATTACTAAAATTTGTTACAAAAAAAGCAGAAATACTCATAAAAGTGGTCCATATGATACATGCGCTCTAATCCAAGTCTTCTGAATGCATACAATAGCTTTGTGTGAGGAACTGACTGAAATTTAAGTAATTATTGATCATTTTCACCTCTCAAACATGTTTCAGTTTACGTGTGAAGAGACACTCTAACTATCATTGCATCCACTTATTTTATGAAAGTTATGGGATAACCCAAAAAAAAATGGTGTATGGAAAATCTTAAAATAAAAATCTGCACAGATGAGGCGGTTAATTTTTTTATTCAATAAGAAAACATGCACATAAACTGCAATAGAAACACATTTACTGAATACATTTTTCAGTGTACAACGAAAAAATTGATTTTCCCTGAAAAGATCATGCAATTGGATAACTGGACTAAACAGCGGACTTTATAGTCAAAGTCTGTCATCTAAATGATTTGATATAATTTCCTCCCAGAATTGTCTCACACGTTTGCGTTCCCAACCAAACGTTCGCCTATGACATGACAGCATTTGTTATTGCGGTTTCATCTGCATGCTAGGCGCAAGTCATTCATTATATAGGAAATAAATCCTCACGGGCTTCCCTGGTTGCAGCAACTATTTATTATTTTATTACTGATACTTTGAGCCAATTTTTCATGGGATGGAAACGTTGCCATATTCGTAAACGTTTTATGCAATATTTCAATTTTTTGCACAAGTTTAATTCGCAACTTACCTATTGACTTCAAACTTGCCACAGTGTCTTGAATATGTGTATGCTTTTAGAATACGTTTAGAGTTTAGCTTTCATTGTATGGAATGAGCTGTGTGAGCATTCTCCTGCAGTTCACTTTGTGTTTCACAGAAGAAATAAAGTCAAATGGGTTCAGAATAACTAACTGACCTCTTCTCATTTCAATTTGTCCATACATGATTGATTGGTATTGCTATATCTATCGTTACACTTATAATGTTAAAGTATATTGTGTTGTCAATACAGCAATGCAGTTACCAATTCATCTGGACTGCAGTTGAGTGACCTCGAGAAGTTGAAGTCGATTAAAGAAATCACAGGTGAAGATCTCAATTATAAAGGAAATACAAGTCGATAGATCTTTGAGAACTCAAATCATAGCAATGTTACTAGCTGTACCAGTGTGTCATTAAATGAGTTTTGCATTTTAAATAACATTATATTTGTATTTTAGGATATCTGTACATAGATGCATGGCCAGATTATTTGCTTAATCTGAGTGTTTTTGAAAACCTGAAGGTGATCAGAGGAAGAATGCTTTACAAGTAAGTATGTCTGTCTTTTCCCCCCCTTTTCCCGTTTCCTAATCCAGTCTTTAAACACATTATTTGCTAGACCGTTCACCCACTTTCTTGTTTGTCTGACGTCTAGTTAGACTTATCAAGCCTGCAGTTTCTTATTCGTTGCAAAGGTTAATGATTATCCTCTACACCTGCTGCATGATGGATCTTTTTTCTTTCCGTTCAACCCCTCAAGCCAGTTCTAACTAGACAGACTGTGAGAAAGGAATGTGCCTAGTTAATCTGTACAATTGTAGGTAATTTTCCACACTGTAGTCAAAATAAAGATTGGTGTATTATAGACTAGTAGCTTTAAAATCTAAAACCCACCATGAACAATTCATCATCATATCAAGGACATGTGCACATGTAACTGTAGTTTAACTCTAGTATCTTATTGCCTTATAATGCGTTTTTCGGTTTATCTCTCTGCAGGGGTGTTTTGTCTTTGGGAGTTCAGTCTTTGCAGATCGAGTCTCTCGGGTTGCGTTCCTTGCGCAGTGTCACCGGAGGTTTAGTACTGTTTCATAATAACTCCAGACTGTGCTACACCTCCTCTTTGCCCTGGTCTCCCATGCTCCACCCCACACAGGCACACAACCTCATCAGCAGCAACAACCAAGACCCGCAAACATGTGGTAAAAGACCATTATTTTTTAGCCCTGTTCGGATGGTGATTGTTTCTCATGGGGATGCAGTTTAATAAATCTAGATTGTCAGTGTTTTTCTCCCATTTAAAAAATAATGGCCGAGTTATTATTATTATTTTTTTATTATTATTACTCTGTGTTTACAAGAATGGATCAATACAAAAGTTGTTCTGGAAATCCATTTTGACCACCGCTAATCATTGTATGGTAATTTGTAATTTGCAATTTTAATTTAAATTGTAATTTCCACATTTTTAAAATGACATCCATTATTTTGAGAGAGGAAAAAACAAATTCACAAATGCTTCACCTATAATAGAATAAAAAATAAAGCAATTCAATTTATATTAATATCGATTCTGGAATTAAAAAAAACGATTTTAAAATCGTAAAAAAAAAAAAAAATGTAAAAACGCAATTATTGCATTTTTTTTTTTTTTTTACGATTTTAAAATCGTTTTTTTTTTATTCCAGAATCGATATTAATATAAATTGAATTGCTTTATTTTTGTCCTTGCTTATAGACGAGGTTGACAGAAGTTAGCCACTTTTGTTCCAGCAGAGGATAAAATGTGTTGGCTTTAGTGACGTAATATCCGAAGTGGTCGCTTTAAAGCGGCAAGCACTGAAAAGCCCTCTCGCTACTCATATGCTGAGATAATAAGACAGTAGAGCTGCACGATTCATCTTTAAAAGACTGTAATCTCGATTCAAACCGCACACGTGATCTTCTTCCACGTAGAAATTCATCTTTCTATTAAACCTTTGACAAAATCATATCGCAACATTCAAATCTGTGATGCCGCTGACCCAGAGAAAGTCATGAAACGGCTTTACAAACAGTATTTTCAACCTCACTGTATCATTATTTCTGTGATACAAAAGTTCAAATTATTATAAGTACTGGGATGAAAGTTTAAAGTTCAAATATACACACTGATGTCTACAGTAGCGGTCAAAATAGAGTAAATCAGCTTTTGATAGAAACTCTGTGCTTAAAGGGGTACTGCACTTTTTTTTTGGAAATAGGCTCATTTTACAACTCCCCCAGAGTTAAACGGTTGGATTTTACCGTTTTCGAATCAATTCAGCCGATTTTCTGATATTTAGAAGAATATCAGTATACAGACAGTTTCTGGTCTCATTGACTTCCATAGTAGGGAAAAAAAATATACTATGGAAGTCAATGAGACCAGAAACTGTCTGTCTGTATAGTGATATTCTTTTAAAAACGGTAAAATCCAACTGTTTAACTCTGGGGGGAGTGGTAAAATGAGCCTATTTCCAAAAAAAAAAAGTGGAGTATCCCTTTAAAATAACACATTTATTGACAATTAAGTGACTGTTAAAAAATGTATTTGTTATTGAATCATTTATTTAAGAGAATGAAGTACTGTATGATGCTTCTGAAATAAAACTCAGAAAGATGTGATGAATTGTTTTGTAAACTCATCTTATACATCTTGTCCAGTCTGTATTGTATGATTCAGCTATTCGCCATGGTCTAGCACCCAAGAACCGTGATCGTATCGAATCGTGAGATAGGTGTATCGTCCCAGCCCTAATGTAAATGTATTTGTACAGTTGTCCCCATGAGAAACAACTGCCATCCAAATAGGTTTGACCGTAAAAGAGTCATACTGTATTTTAAATCCTGAAAGCATGGCATGCAGTAGAGTGACTATATGCAGAGCACAGCCTTGAGTGTCTTGTTGTTTTTTTAAAACAGTCACAACATAATTGAAATATTATGCAGACACATTCTTAATGGCATCCTTGCTGTAACTTCTGTCTGCAGTAACAGTATTTACAACTAATTTAGAAAATGCTTTATTTTGATGACCCACTTAAGACATTAAGCAACTACAACTTATGCAAGACTTGCAACACATAATCCTAATTTAACAGTCTACTAACACAAATGTAGTTGGAAAGTTACTGAAGTGGACCATCAAAATAAACTCTAATCCTGGTGGAAACATCCAGTTACAGTTGTCTATTAAACTAGAAACTAAATTTGGATTTTTTTCCATTTGTTAAAAAATGTGTGTTTCCCATAATGAATGATATTCCATTGCATGCTTGATTATGGAATCAAACCGGACATTCTTATCTCTCTTGTGTAGTTTCAGAGGGGAGAATCTGTGACCCCCTGTGTGCGGATGCAGGCTGCTGGGGGCCGGGACCAGGTCAGTGTGTGTCGTGTGTGAATTACAAACGTGGGACGGAGTGTGTGGAGCAGTGTAATGTCCTGCAGGGGTGAGTACAGTATAAATAAGCTGCTTTTTAATTTGTTGTTGTGTACGGAGCCCCTCTAGCCCACTTTGGCAAAAAAAATTAACTATAACTATCTTGTGGCCTCAAGATAGTAACTCGTGGCCTCAAGATAGTAACTCGTGGCCTCAAGATAGTAACTCGTGGCCTCAAGATACTAACTCGTGGCCTCAAGATAGTAACTCGTGGCCTCAAGATAGTAACTCGTGGCCTCAAGATAGTAACTCGTGGCCTCAAGATAGTAACTCGTGGCCTCAAGATACTAACTCGTGGCCTCAAGATACTAACTCGTGGCCTCAAGATACTAACTCGTGGCCTCAAGATACTAACTCGTGGCCTCAAGATACTAACTCGTGGCCTCAAGATACTAACTCGTGGCCTCAAGATACTAACTCGTGGCCTCAAGATACTAACTCGTGGCCTCAAGATACTAACTCGTGGCCTCAAGATACTAACTCGTGGCCTCAAGATACTAACTCGTGGCCTCAAGATACTAACTCGTGGCCTCAAGATAGTAACTCGTGGCCTCAAGATACTAACTCGTGGCCTCAAGATACTAACTCGTGGCCTCAAGATACTAACTCGTGGCCTCAAGATAGTAACTCGTGGCCTCAAGATAGTAACTCGTGGCCTCAAGATAGTAACTCGTGGCCTCAAGATACTAACTCGTGGCCTCAAGATACTAACTCGTGGCCTCAAGATACTAACTCGTGGCCTCAAGATACTAACTCGTGGCCTCAAGATAGTAACTCGTGGCCTCAAGATAGTAACTCGTGGCCTCAAGATACTAACTCGTGGCCTCAAGATACTAACTCGTGGCCTCAAGATACTAACTCGTGGCCTCAAGATACTAACTCGTGGCCTCAAGATACTAACTCGTGGCCTCAAGATACTAACTCGTGGCCTCAAGATACTAACTCGTGGCCTCAAGATACTAACTCGTGGCCTCAAGATACTAACTCGTGGCCTCAAGATACTAACTCGTGGCCTCAAGATACTAACTCGTGGCCTCAAGATAGTAACTCGTGGCCTCAAGATACTAACTCGTGGCCTCAAGATAGTAACTCGTGGCCTCAAGATAGTAACTCGTGGCCTCAAGATAGTAACTCGTGGCCTCAAGATAGTAACTCGTGGCCTCAAGATAGTAACTCGTGGCCTCAAGATACTAACTCGTGGCCTCAAGATACTAACTCGTGGCCTCAAGATACTAACTCGTGGCCTCAAGATACTAACTCGTGGCCTCAAGATACTAACTCGTGGCCTCAAGATACTAACTCGTGGCCTCAAGATACTAACTCGTGGCCTCAAGATACTAACTCGTGGCCTCAAGATACTAACTCGTGGCCTCAAGATACTAACTCGTGGCCTCAAGATACTAACTCGTGGCCTCAAGATAGTAACTCGTGGCCTCAAGATAGTAACTCGTGGCCTCAAGATACTAACTCGTGGCCTCAAGATACTAACTCGTGGCCTCAAGATAGTAACTCGTGGCCTCAAGATAGTAACTCGTGGCCTCAAGATAGTAACTCGTGGCCTCAAGATACTAACTCGTGGCCTCAAGATACTAACTCGTGGCCTCAAGATACTAACTCGTGGCCTCAAGATACTAACTCGTGGCCTCAAGATAGTAACTCGTGGCCTCAAGATACTAACTCGTGGCCTCAAGATACTAACTCGTGGCCTCAAGATACTAACTCGTGGCCTCAAGATACTAACTCGTGGCCTCAAGATACTAACTCGTGGCCTCAAGATACTAACTCGTGGCCTCAAGATACTAACTCGTGGCCTCAAGATACTAACTCGTGGCCTCAAGATACTAACTCGTGGCCTCAAGATACTAACTCGTGGCCTCAAGATACTAACTCGTGGCCTCAAGATACTAACTCGTGGCCTCAAGATACTAACTCGTGGCCTCAAGATAGTAACTCGTGGCCTCAAGATAGTAACTCGTGGCCTCAAGATACTAACTCGTGGCCTCAAGATAGTAACTCGTGGCCTCAAGATAGTAACTCGTGGCCTCAAGATAGTAACTCGTGGCCTCAAGATAGTAACTCGTGGCCTCAAGATAGTAACTCGTGGCCTCAAGATACTAACTCGTGGCCTCAAGATACTAACTCGTGGCCTCAAGATACTAACTCGTGGCCTCAAGATACTAACTCGTGGCCTCAAGATACTAACTCGTGGCCTCAAGATACTAACTCGTGGCCTCAAGATACTAACTCGTGGCCTCAAGATACTAACTCGTGGCCTCAAGATACTAACTCGTGGCCTCAAGATACTAACTCGTGGCCTCAAGATACTAACTCGTGGCCTCAAGATAGTAACTCGTGGCCTCAAGATAGTAACTCGTGGCCTCAAGATACTAACTCGTGGCCTCAAGATACTAACTCGTGGCCTCAAGATAGTAACTCGTGGCCTCAAGATAGTAACTCGTGGCCTCAAGATAGTAACTCGTGGCCTCAAGATACTAACTCGTGGCCTCAAGATACTAACTCGTGGCCTCAAGATACTAACTCGTGGCCTCAAGATACTAACTCGTGGCCTCAAGATAGTAACTCGTGGCCTCAAGATACTAACTCGTGGCCTCAAGATACTAACTCGTGGCCTCAAGATACTAACTCGTGGCCTCAAGATACTAACTCGTGGCCTCAAGATACTAACTCGTGGCCTCAAGATACTAACTCGTGGCCTCAAGATACTAACTCGTGGCCTCAAGATACTAACTCGTGGCCTCAAGATACTAACTCGTGGCCTCAAGATACTAACTCGTGGCCTCAAGATAGTAACTCGTGGCCTCAAGATACTAACTCGTGGCCTCAAGATACTAACTCGTGGCCTCAAGATAGTAACTCGTGGCCTCAAGATAGTAACTCGTGGCCTCAAGATAGTAACTCGTGGCCTCAAGATAGTAACTCGTGGCCTCAAGATAGTAACTCGTGGCCTCAAGATAGTAACTCGTGGCCTCAAGATAGTAACTCGTGGCCTCAAGATAGTAACTCTTGGCCTCAAGATACTAACTCGTGGCCTCAAGATAGTAACTCGTGGCCTCAAGATAGTAACTGTGGCCTCAAGATACTAACTCGTGGCCTCAAGATACTAACTCGTGGCCTCAAGATAGTAACTCGTGGCCTCAAGATAGTAACTCGTGGCCTCAAGATACTAACTCGTGGCCTCAAGATACTAACTCGTGGCCTCAAGATACTAACTCGTGGCCTCAAGATAGTAACTCTTGGCCTCAAGATACTAACTCGTGGCCTCAAAAAAAATGTTTTCTTCCCTTAGCTTGGGCCATGGCGAACTTCCAATAAATACATTTTATCAGACCGGGCCGGCCCTCGCGGCCTCGAAACACTACCGGCCCACCGGGAAAACTCCCGACTCTCCCGATTGCCACTCCGCTACTGACTCATATTCATTAGTAGTATTTCCTAAAGCAAGTATCACTGCTCATACTTAGGGTTAAGGGTTTGACAAAACCTATAATTTAATAACATGCAACTTGTGAATCCTCAAATGAGTATTTTTAAGTGAGAGGTGCACTGTTACTTTTCTAAGTAATTTAAATTATGCCATTCGTCTGGTGGGCATTAAAACAATGCAGAAAAATGTAGCGATCTGATACTAACTCGTGGCCTCAAGATACTAACTCGAAGCCTCAAGATAGTAACTCTTGGCCTCAAGATACTAACTCGTGGCCTCAAGATAGTAACTCGTGGCCTCAAGATACTAACTCGTGGCCTCAAGATACTAACTCGTGGCCTCAAGATACTAACTCGTGGCCTCAAGATAGTAACTCGTGGCCTCAAGATAGTAACTCGTGGCCTCAAGATAGTAACTCGTGGCCTCAAGATAGTAACTCGTGGCCTCAAGATAGTAGGTGGTGTCCGTCCGCCCGTAACAGGATTTGAAAAGAGTTTTTTAACCAGTTCAACAAAAAAATGCCTACCCGACCTTTAAATAATACAATAAAGAATGCAGATTTATATGCTGTTATTATAGAAGTTGGTTTTAAACTCTTAATGTCTACATCAAATGCATTTTCCACAGGTCATTCCGGGAGTTTGTGGATGGATTTAACTGTGGTCCTTGTCATCCAGAGTGTCGACCAGTCAACGGCTCTGCCTCCTGTACAGGCCGAGTAAGATGCAAATGCAAAATTCAAAAACAAATTATATATATATATATATATGTGTGTGTGTGTGTGAAGAGTTCAGATGGAAAAGCCTCTAAATGCCATTTGAAATTTTCTTCTTTAATGATGATTTTTATCAAACTTGTATATTTAAGTTCAGTAATTTCACTTAAACAACAATTAATAGGTATTTATCATTGCCATTTAAGTGAAATCACTGAACTTAAATATACAAGCTTGATAAAAATGATCATTCTAGAAGAAAATTTCAAATGGCACTTAGAGGCTTTTGCATCTGAACTCTTCATATATATATATATATATATATATATACATATCTATGGAACAAATAAGAAGAATGCTGTTCATGCTGCTGATTTCCAAAGAGTGAAAGGAAAATTAACAAAAATGCACCATAAAAGCTCAAAGTCCAAGTGAACTTTATTGTGATTTTTAGTACATAACATGGTACTTTATAAAAGATAAGCTCAGTTCCAAGAAGTAGTACAAAAACAAAACTTTTATTTTCCCTTTTGTGTTCCATTGAAGAAAGGAATACACGGTGCATTGTCAATTTTTTATATTAAAGAAGCCATATTTTGGCCTTTTACAAAGTGTTGATTTTGTTTTTTATAGGTTTTCATGCTTTAATAATAATGTAACAATTATAATTTTCAAAATGACAATTGCAGCACTTAACTATAAACTAAACTACTTTTAGTTCTTGTCTCTATGAAGCCCCTCCTTTATGAAAATTGCAGTGCACTCTGATTGGTTGGCAGGAGCAGTGTGTTTGAATGCGTTTTGGAAATGTTATGCCTCTTTACCATAACTGGTAGATTCAACACTACTGACGCAACTACAGCAGGCCTCGCCATTATTTTTGCTTTATTTAAATGAGGAATATTGTGACTCCCACGTTCCTGGAAGAAAAATGAAGACTGCAATCGCAGCGTTTCAGGAAGTTCAGAAACAATGCTTTACTGATATAGAGAGTCATTCCTTTTTTGAGTGACACTTTTCATGCTCAAACAGCACACACACTAAAGAAAGTTGAATTTGTAAAGAAAGAATAATTAGGTCCCCTTTAAATGTGTTTCTTGTGCAGGGTCCGGATCAGTGTAAGGAGTGTATGCACTTTCAAGATGGAGACGTGTGTGTTGAGCGCTGTCCCAGTGGGGTGAAAGAGGACCAGCACACAGTGTGGAAATACTTCAATGCTACGAATCACTGTTTGCCCTGTGAGACCAACTGCAGCGTCTCGTAAGTCCTTCAATCGGTTCATGAATTGTTATCCCACTTTTTTTTATATCAGACCATGAGCAACAATTTAGGATTTGGAATTCATTTTTTTGTTTTGTATTTACTGTCAGCTGTCCATTGGATGATAGAGGGTGCCCGATACTACAGAAAGCTGGGTAAGACGTTGTTTTTATCTATTTATTGTCTCATGTTTTTATCTGTTTTTGTGTGAACGTGTATGTGTTGGCTACCAGTTGTGAACTAAATTGCCCCTGGGGGACATTAAAGATATTTCAATTCAAATGTGTATGTATATGCAGAATACTCATATCAGGGGCGGAATGGGACCAAAAAATCAATCGGGAAATTTCCTAGACCACCGGCCCTCATCGTCGGCACGATTTTAATAGCCGATAGCATTTACAGTTTTATTGATTTAATAGGAACTTTGTTGTACTAGTATGCTGGAGTAAAGTTCATAAATAGTCGTTCTTTCCCATAGTAATTTCTAAAACTATGTTGGGAGGACCTCTTGGGGGGTTCGAGGGGCATGCTCCCCCGCAAGAAAATTTTGGACATTTTAAGGTTATAATGCATCAATCTCATGCTCTCTGAGAGATCGAAATTAAGACCCATGAACTGCTCGTTGAACAAAGAAAAAACATTAATTTGTACCAGGACAATAAAGAGGGCTCAAACATATTTTTAGTTATGAGAGTCTCAGTCTGCATTACATTATCAATGGTGTTTTAGGATGCCAAACAATTATTATAATAATGTAATGATTTATAATTATTCCTATGACGTACTGTAAAATCCATTTATAGCCTATAAATGTACTATGTAAATGAAAATGAGTATTTCAAAAGTATATTTTAACCTACATTACACTATAATATAGGAAAATTAAAATACTTTTGTCCTAATTTCTTCACTTGCAAGAAATAAACCCTTGAGCTTTTATTTAGGAGAAAACACCAGCAGCCTGACCATGATGATCGCGTGAGCAAAGTAATCACGCAGCACAAACTGGATGCTATTCTAATGTCAGTTATTATAATGGCGCAACGCCATATATATTCATGGTTTCCATTTTAGTTCGTTGGCAAAATATAACGCTAGAGACCTTAATGTTAGGTTTTACATTTTACATCTTTACATATCTGTGTTGGGAAAAGGGAAGAGAGAGTTCGGCAAGGCGGATTCGAACTCGTGTTCAGCGCATCAAAAAGCTGCATTCAAGTACTTCACGCCCTACGACCTACGCCACTGAGGCTGTTTCAAAACGGGCGTCGTTTTGCTGTAAAGACAGGCACTTAGTGCAAATATATGCTCCGTTATAGAAAATGTAAAAAAAAAAAAAAAATTTTCTTCCCTTAGCTTGGGCCATGGCGAACTTCCAATAAATACATTTTATCAGACCGGGCCGGCCCTCGCGGCCTCAACACTACCGGCCCACCGGGAAAACTCCCGACTCTCCCGATTGCCACTCCGCTACTGACTCATATTCATTAGTAGTATTTCCTAAAGCAAGTATCACTGCTCATACTTAGGGTTAAGGGTTTGACAAAACCTATAATTTAAAAACATGCAACTTGTGAATCCTCAAATGAGTATTTTTAAGTGAGAGGTGGACTGTTACTTTTCTAAGTAATTTAAAATATGCCATTCGTCTGGTGGGCATTAAAACAATGCAGAAAAATGTAGCGATCTGAATATAATTGGTCCTGTTTACACATGCAATCAGGGTTTCATTAAATGTGGGATGGGCTACTTAGACTTGGCAAACACCACAAAAAAAAAATTGGAAAATGTAAAATTCTAGTTATTAATCATAGCTATAGAGTTATGCTTTAACCACAGACTGCACAATCCTGCTTTAATGGAATTGTTTGTTTTGAAAATTCTTCAGGCCTGGGACAACAGTCGCAATCACAATTGGCGGAGTGTTTCTCTTTATCATTTTGCTGGCGCTGCTGGTGTTTTACCTGCGACGACAGAAACACCAGAAAAAGAAAGAAATCATGAGGAGAATTCTTCAGGAACATGAGGTCAGAACTCTGCAGAGTGTTTCATTTGCATGTAGAATTTGTTTTCGATCTTTATTTTAATACTGACACATTTATAACTCAAAACCAGTCTAAAAGCAGCAGATTTTAGACAATTGATACTTGAGGCAAATCTAATTTTGAACTTGTGCAACTTCCGGTAACTTCCGGTAATTTTTTACAGTCCTTTTACCCATGTACATACTATGTACTTATAGTAATTACAATTACTGGGTAATAACTAGGTACTAACCCTGAACCTACCTCTAAACCTACCTCTAACCCTTTAGCCAGTACTTTCTAGGTAAGTACATTGTAAGTACATGTTACCCAACTTCCTTATGTCGGCTATATGAATCTGCATTAGGGTTTGTCTGCCAACATTTGTTGAAAATTAGCTGATTTTAAAATTGACATTAGCATGTTGCAAGCTATCAACTCATTCTTCTAATAAGCATACAAATACGTAGCACATGCAAATACTGGAAAGGATAGTGCATTTTAATTAAAATTTGATTTTATGGTTGTTGATAATTTTTTTTATATATAATTTACATGAAGTTAATATTTCAATAATTTAACAATATAATAACATGGTCACAGTTCTCTGATGTTGATCAATTGTCACATGACATGCAAATAAATAGATAAAGTATTTAATAGTGTTTAAGTGTTTTATTTTGACTTTGTAGCTGGACTTTAAAGTGAACTCAAACCTCTTTTTACTTGTGATAGTGTCTCATTCCACATCACTTTCACACTTATGTGAACAGATTTCACATCTGCAGAGTCGCTATGATTCTATAAAAGCCTACGTAGGCAGCAAACTAGGTTGTGGAACTGAGTCTATTGTTTTTAAACAGTACAGTAAATAAGAACTCATAATAAGAGTCAAATATAGGAAAGTCTGCTAGACTTTGTGCTGTTCCTGGCCCCTTTAACCCTCAGGAGCTCTTCGTTTCGGAGTCACACTTGTTATCTTCCCGGTCAAAAGTGACCGGACACCTAAAAATGAAACTTTCTCCATTCCAGTAAAACCAATGCAATTTATTTTTGTTCTATAATATTTATTCTTTTTAATTTAGTATTTTGAGACAATTTAATTGAATTTATTAATATTTATGCAATATTTATGGTTTATTTTTGCCATGGAAAAATATATATATATTTCTATATATATATTATTTTTTTCCAAAAAATATTAACGCAGTATTTTAGTTTAATGTAGAGTCTAGGCCTTCAGAAAAAAAAATATTTTTTGAAGAAAATTAGCACCATCTGGTTACAGTATAGAGAAAAAGCGTAGAATCATGGTGTAACCACTAGATGGCATGTACAGCTCTCTATGGAGAGGCATGTGAATTTCCCAGCTGTTTATGAACACATTTTTTTTTTTTGTTGTTGGTGGATTTGAATATATAGTTGAAACAATCTCAAAAACTATTTCTTATTAAAAAAAATTGACAAAAAAACAAAAATTCACTATTCACCCATTCATTTCTTATGGGGGTCATTTTTGACCAAAGACCACAAGTGTGACTATTTTTTTAAGACCACTTAGCATGCTCAGATCATGACCTCAATTTTTTGTGTGTTTACATACATAATGCCATAAAAGTCACCAAGTTTCGTAACATTGCGATGAAGCTGTGATTTTTAAAAACTCAAAACATACTTTTTGTAATCAAAATTTATTGGTGTGTAAGTGTATAAAAGTGTGTTTGTATGTGTGTGTGTGTTGGTGGGTGTGTCTGTTTTGCACTTTAGATGTTGTAGAGTGTCACCCCTTTCCTGCGGTGTACTTTTTTTTTTAGAATTGTGGCCGATTTGTAGATTGTACATTCAAAAATTCAGATAATTTTTTTGTTGTTGTCAATTTCCCATTTATTTCCTATGGTCGGTCATCTTTGACCGAAGAGCACAAGTGTGACTATTTTTTTTCGACCACTTAGCCTGCTCAGATCATAACCTCAATTTTTTTGTGTGTTCACATACCCAATGCCATAAAAGTCACCAAGTTTCGTAACATTCCGGTGAAGCTGTGATTTTTAAAATTTCAGAACAGAAAATTTTTCGGTCAGAAATGACCGAAGAGCACCTGAGGGTTAATTGTAGTCAATATCGGTTGGTCGTGCTAATGCATTTCTTCTGTTTATGCAGTCTGTTTGGTTTGACTACTTGACATTTAGTTTTGTAGTCTTATGGCATCTCATTTTTCTCTGAAGCTGGTGGAGCCACTGACCCCGAGCGGAGCGATGCCGAACCAGGCTCAGATGCGTATTCTCAAGGAGACAGAGCTGAAGAAACTCAGAGTGCTGGGCTCTGGAGCCTTTGGCACAGTCTATAAGGTCAGACACTGCACACAGTAAAAGAAAAGAGACATATCTGTTACCCTTCCTCATCATATCAATGTTAGTTTTTTTAGCTGGCACATGCAGCCTCGGAAATATGACTAGCCATCTTTGCTCATAAGTAAATGAGCTGCTGGAAAATGACTTCGTAGACTGGCTGATGGCACCACAAAATCTCAAACCCTTCACTAGTGACTATAAAGGCAGCATACGGAGAAAATAATAAACTGTTTATCTCATGGTTTCCCTCTAAAAAATCAGGCACTGGCAAAATAATGCAATTTGTTTTAATGCAAACCATTTTGAATCCCCATTAGCATTTTATTTTTTTACATCAAGTGTTGCCAAACTTTTTTATTTACTTGAAGAAATATTTCAAAAATTTAAAGACACATTTGCTTTTTTGCAGTTCTCTGATGCAAGTCTACATCAGTCTAATTAAACTGATCTTAATCTTTTTTTAAAAGTGTTTGATTTTGACTTTTAAAGCGGATTCAAACTTCTTTTCAGTTGTGATAGTGTGTTAGTCTATATCACATTTTAAGATGGTACAATGGTACCCGCTGCCTTTTATTTGATTGCTATATCAAGATTATCGCACAGCCCCGTTTATTTATGTACAATGTACTTTTGATATAATAATAATAATTATTATTATTAGCTTTTCATCAACTCACGAACCCCCTACTGTTCCCTTTGCGAACCCTGTTTGGGAAACGCTGTTCTACGTTATTGATCTTAATGTAGTTTAACCCTATTCATGCAAAGTTGATCTCATCTCACCAGGGTATATGGGCTCCTGATGGGGAAAACGTCAGGATCCCAGTGGCCATCAAAGTTTTGCGTGAGAACACCTCGCCCAAAGCCAACAAAGAAATCTTGGATGTGAGTGTGTTGCTTACATTCCTATATTTTGTTGCAATATTAATTTCCTGTTATAAACATTCAGAAGACTCTCCTTCCTAATGATAGTAAGTGTTTATTTTGTATGTGGATATGTGTGACTTTAAAGTGTTTTATCACAGGAGGCATATGTGATGGCGGGTGTAGCGAGCCCACATGTGTGCCGCTTGCTTGGCATCTGTCTGACATCAACAGTTCAGCTGGTTACTCAGCTCATGCCATACGGATGCTTGTTGGACTATGTCAAAGAAAACAAGGACCGGATCGGCTCTCATTACCTCCTCACCTGGTGTGTACAGATTGCGAAGGTAAGACATCTACAGAACGTGACATGCACTGATGGTGGAAGATTTTCTGGTGTGTCATTTCGCACAGGATTTTGTGAGACTATTCAATATCTTCACTTACAAGAGTTTTTATTTTAGAGGAAAACAGTTTACAAATATGTCTCAGAAATCTAGTAAAAATGCTGTAATCATCTGTCCACAAAAATGTTGGAAATTATGCAATCATGTGAAAATAAGTGGTGCATGTTAAACTCACTTATGTAGATATTGAGTTTGATCACTTTGAAACGAAATGCTGAAAAGACCAGATTGCAATTTAATAAGCACACAAAGCCAGATCTCTATTTTGATTTTATGTCATGAGAGGTGTAAAAATACACAGGGAAACACTGCAGTTACACACATTAGTGCTTTCACACTGCGCTTTAACCCAGGTTATGGTTCTTCTAAACCTTACTTTTAACCCTCGATAAAGAAATATTCCACAATTGCAATTTAGAAGCGGGGCTAATCCATGAAACTGACATTAACCCAAGGTTTAGGAACCTTAAAGTACTAGTTCACTTTTCAAAAAACTTTGGCTGATAATTTACTCACCCCCATGTCATCCAAGATGTCCATGTCTTTCTTTCTTCAGTCGAAAAGAAATTAAGGTTTTTAATGAAAACGTTCCAGGATTTTTCTCCATATAATGGACTTCAGTGGGAACCAAACGGTTCAAGTTCCAAAAGAAACTTTCAGTACAAACTGAAACAAACTTGTTCAAAGGGCTTTAAACGATTCCAGATGATAAATAAGTGTCTTATCAAGCGAAACGATCGCTCGTTTTTTTTTTTTTTTAATAACAAAGTTTAAGTTTTATAAGATCAAACGCTCGCCTTGCTCTGTTCTGTGGTGCACGTTAGTGACTCTAATGTTCGAACTCGTTCAACAAAATGAACAAATCTTTTTACGAATCAATTCGTTCGTTTCTTTCGCCGAATGAACCAAATGACTCGGAAAAAGATTTGTTCATTTTGATGTACGAGTTCGAACAGGAGCGCGTTACAGAACAGAGCAAGGCGAGCGTTTGAGCTTATAAAACTTAAACTTTGTTATTTATTTATAAAACGAGCGATCGTTTCGCTTGATAAGACCCTTATTCATCGTCTGGAATCGTTTAAAGCCCTTTGAACAAGTTTGCAGTTTGTACTTAAAGTTTCTTTTGGACCTTGAACCATCTGGTTCCCACTGAAGTCCATTATATGGAGAAAAATCCTGGAATGTTTTAATCAAAAACCTTAATTTCTTTTCGACTGAGGAAAGAAAGACATGGGCATCTTGGATGACATGGGGGTGAGTAAATTATCAGCAAAAGTTTTTTCAAAAGTGAACTACTCCTTTAAACGCAGGGTTTAGGAATGTACAATGTGAAAAGTTTATGAATACCCAGGATTAATTGTTAACCCCATTATGAAAATTAAAATTCTGTCATGACAACTGAGATTGGCATGATAATGGATGTGGCAATGCTAACGCTGTTGCTCCTGTTGATTATTGCTGCTGCTTTAGAGCAAAATAGAGACTTGATACTGCCAATATATTCAAAGACTTGCTGCTGCTATACATATAACATACATGAAATAACCCCCGTAGCAGATCTATACAGGTGGATCTGGGGAAGGTGGAGGGTTTCTGCAGACTGCTAATAGCAAACAAAGTATTTGAATGTTGCGCAGCAATGTCATTGGCTGCTGATGCCACATCAACCAATCTATGTAGATAACAATGTGATCGCTAACAAAATTAGTTATGGACCCATCAGCTTGCGCCAAATTGGGCCCTTTTTTAACGATCTAAAACACAAGTATCAAACGCGACGCGCAAGTAACTTTGTGGGCGGGTCTTGGGCGCTGTTGCTATTTAACCGGCGGGATAAATGACTCTTGCGCCTGACGCAAATCTAAAAGGGGTTGGTCTGAAGTAGCTTCATTATTCAGAGGTGTGGTTTGGGCGTAACGGGAAACAAACCAATCAGAGCGTCGTATCACATATCCTTTAAGAGATTGATGAACGAGGTGTGCTTGTTACATGGCGCAATACTATTATAACGGCGCATTTACCAGGCGCTTCACAATCGGTTCACAGCCGAGGAGATCGTTGTTCTCGTCAGGGCCGTAAAAGAAAGAGAAGTGACATCGGGGATGGGACAAACACACCCAAATTAGCTTCGGTTAAACCTGTATATGATAATTTGGGTAAATGTGTAAGCTTTATGCCTATTTTTACCATCGTCATGGACACAACAATGATTTCCCTCATGTTTATATATTTTTCCTTATAATAATGTATCATTTGCACAAAAAAAAAGTAAAATGCATCTGTGTAGATGAGAGAATCATCTACAGTGTATCATGGAGCATGCACGCTTAAAATAGCATCTGAATGTACGCACTTTGACTTTAGACTAGGTTTTTTTCTGGTCATTGGCGCAATTGTTTTCTGGAACTGCAAAATAGCACCAGGGGTTGTTTGCACCGAAACACGCCTCATTTTTTGCGCCGACCCGCCCAGGGAGCGCAGGTTCATTCCCTAGGTTACCGTTGTGCGTCTGTGGAGGGAAAGCCTGCTTTGTGTGTGTGCAAAATAGGGCCCCTAGAGTTTAAAGTCCCCGTGAACCGGAAGTTGCAAACGAGTTTTCTCCAGTGTTGTGACGTATTTCGGAGAGAAACGGAATACTAAATGAGGCAAAAATAGTGGGCGTGGCTTTTTTTTCTAACTAGCACCTGATTGGATCTAGAAAAATGGGTGACGCAAGTTTACACACGCTGTCAATCAATGCTCGCTCGGCGCTCGCAAACACACAGCAGCTGTCAGTTGGAGGGGCGTGGTTATGGATGTTAAGGAGACACCCAAACCGTAAAGCCTACGTCATCGGGCAAGGTCCTCCAATGCAGAGGGGAGGGGCATTTTCAAACTTTGATTAAAGATTATGAAGCCAAAAAATTTTTTTGTGTGGATTGACTTGCATGTATGAATTGTTCACCACAAAACGATCAATTTAGGCAAACAAAGTAAGTATGGTCAATTTTGATTTCATAGGGACTTTAATGACATAACTTTGTATTTATGCAAATTATGATATTATAAATAAGACGAAGCATAATAACACAGGATTCCATTAACTATCGCTATTCGCTATTCCCCAGCCACTTGTGCACATGTTCTCATGTCTGGTTCTTTGTGTACCCAGGGAATGAGTTACCTTGAAGAAGTGAGGCTGGTTCACAGAGACCTTGCTGCTAGGAATGTTCTAGTCAAAAACCCAAACCATGTGAAGATTACAGACTTTGGGCTTGCCAGACTGCTGGACATAGATGAGAAGGAGTACCACGCCGATGGGGGAAAGGTGGGTTTTACATGTTGCTTTGGTTGGATGAACAGCCGAAACTGATTTGGAAACAGAGCTCGAGTGTGGATGAATCTAATATCCTGTATGTATTGAGAATAAGTCTATGTGTGTGTGTTGAGTAGGTGCCAATCAAATGGATGGCGCTGGAGTCCATATTACACAGAAGGTTTACTCACCAAAGTGATGTATGGAGCTACGGTCAGTATCTGCATGGGTTTACAGTTGCTCTGCTGTAATTGATAACCCTCCGGTTTAAAATAACCTTCGAAGCTTGGCTCTTTCCATCTCAGGGGTGACTGTATGGGAGTTGATGACCTTTGGCATGAAGCCATACGACCTCATACCAGCGCGGGACATTCCAGAACTCCTGGAGGGGGGAGACAGACTCCCCCAGCCGCTTATCTGCACCACGGAAGTCTACATGATCATGGTCAATTGTTAGTGTTCATCTCTAATGATCATTTGAATGCTTTTTTGATTCAAATATGTATCTCAAATAGGGCTGTGCAAAAGTTAATCGCGATTAATCGCATTCAAAATAAAAGTCTGTGTTTACATAATATATTTGTGTGTGCTGTATATAATTATTTTGTATATATAAATACCTATGCATGCATGTATATATTTAAGAATTTGCACTTAAATTCTGTATATATAAATAAATACATAATCTATATTATATAAATATTTTATATATAACACATTTTCTTAAATATATACATGCATGTGTGTGTATTTATATATACAAAATAATTATATACAGCACACACAAATATATAATGTAAACACAGACTTTTATTTTGGATGCGATTAATCGGAATTAATTTTTGCACAGCCCTAATCTCAAACTTAACAATGAAGTCTGACTATCACAAAAAAAAGTTCAAACTTTGCCCAAAAAAGTGTACAGTAAATACTGTGGCTTTGTGGTACTTCAGGACATTGCTGTTGGTTGTCTTGTATGACTTCTGCATCGTGAATTTAGCTTGTTTTACAAACGAGAGACCAGCAATCAGCAAAGATGTCACAGCAGCTGTCCATGTGGATTTGTATTGAATATGTAGAGGACTTTTTTTTGACCATGTGACCTTATGCCAGGTTGGATGATCGATCCTGACAGTCGACCGCGATTTAAGGACCTGGTGGAGGAATTTACCAACATGTCACGTGATCCCCCACGTTTTGTAGTCATCCAAGTGCGTAAATATATAAAAACAAATTCATTATGAACTTGTAATTAATAATATACGGCTGCATCTATCAACTACATTGATAAGCATTTAAATATAATCTGTGTGTAGTTTCTATTTCTATTTCTTTGAAAAATTTGACATAAGAGTTTTGTGAAAGTTCATTAACTTTCTGCTTAGATAAGATGATCTGCAAAAGATTATAACAGCAAAATATAAATAAATATGGGAAATTAAAATGTTTTTATACTTTAAAGTGACAGTGATCTCGTGCATAACTGAGCCATTGTGAGACATGCCGTCAACCATTTACATTATTGAGTTTATCAATGAGTTGTTGGAGCCCTAAAATAATATATATTCCTTTTCTCCTTTTGAAGTCATTTTTTGAAAGATCATGCCATTTCTGTTTTTTTTTTTCCTGCTTTTTTCAGAATGACGATCAGATGAGTTTGTCGAGTCCTGTTGAAAGTGAGTTCTTCCGCAGGCTGATGGCAGAGGAGGGGGGGAACGTGAAAGAGTTACTGGATGCGGAAGAATACCTGGTGCCTCAGCCCGGCGGCATCTTCAGCTCGCAAGGAGAAATGAGAGCCAACGGACCCAGCAGACACCACTCTCATCGGGTCAGAGATCATTTCAGTCCCGCAAATGCTACTATATTGCTTGTCCCATTTTAATTTTTTTTTTTTCTTCTTCTTTAGAGTACAGATCAAGGTTTAGAGGTGGATGGTATGCCAAGCGGGAGGGATTTGTACTCCTCCGTCAGCACGCTGGGGCAGAGTCAGTACCCAACTCTTCCTGTTGGGGCAACAGCCAATGCTATGTGGTCTGGGACACAGTATCCAACTTTAGTACGGAGCATATCACACCTTTCCGCTGGAGGCCAATCGGACTCTGTGTTTCTGGACGGCTACGTGGAGGACAATGGCCCTCCATCCAGTCCTGGTCGTTATTCTAAAGACCCTACCGTCCCCAACGGCATAGATGGAGAGATGGAGACCTGGAGAACGGATGGCCCTACTGGCTTTCTTTCAAACACACTGCCACGTGGAGCGCACACACAACCTGGTGAGTGAAACATATCATTTGCAGTAAAGGCAACCCATTTTACTACTGGAATGTGACATTTCTGGTTGTCTGGTATTTCACAATTTTTTTCTGATGTCATCCAAAAGAACGAGTATTTTCCAAGGCAGATCAAGTTGTTTTTATGAAATACGACAAAGACATAAATATATATTTAGACATGCCATGCAGTCAAGACTCTCTGGTGATGTATTCAGGACTTCTCCAATCATTTTCCCACCTTCTGCCTCTGCAACAGACACATCTCCTAACCCAATCCCCATCTGTTCCCCACCCTGAATTTTTTCTTTTTAAAGAATCCATACGTCACAATACAGAGGAAAAGATTGCAAGCTGGGATATGAGAGTGTATTGCAACATTGAGAACATGTTAAAGAAGAACTCCGGCGCCAAATGAACCTTTGGTCTAATAAAACATCGGTACCTAGTCGACCGTCCTCTGAGATTTGTTTTCATGATAATCGAATGTAAAGAGTTTTATCTCTAAAAACTGTTTAGCGTATATGCTAGTATATGGGGGCATATAATAAGTAAAAAGAAATCGCTAGTTTATGAAGCATTGAGAACTTTGTAAGTGTACAGACCGTTTAATAAGAAGATATTTTATAAAGACAGTGCACTTCGTGTATACATGCGGCGCCGTCTTTGGAAAACAGTCTCAAAAACCACGAACGCCGTTCATACAGTTCAGAAGTTCGCTGAACTTCATACAGTTCAGATCACTTAGCACGTCATTCGTGGTTCGACTTGTCGAGACTGTTTTCCAAAGATGGCGCCGCTTGTATACACAAAGTATCTTCTTATTAAACGGTCTGCACACTTAAAAAGTTCTCAATGCTTCGTTTTGCATGTATGGACCCTCATTATGTTACTGTGTTAGTGTGGGGCTATTTTGAGCGTTGTTAGTGGTATTAACTAGCGATTTCTTTTTACTCATTATATGCCCCCATATACTAGCGTTTACGCTAAAAAGTTTTTAGAGATAAAACTCTTTACATTTGATTATCATGAAAACAAATCTCAGAGAATGGTCGACTAGGTACCGATGTGTTATTAGACCAAAGGTTCATTTGACGCCGGAGTTGTCTTTTTAACCAATAGCCAAATAGCAATTTTAGACACTGACTATAAAAAATGTCTAATATTGGCCATGGTACCACATTTACATTTATTCATTCATATTTTCATGCTACAGTGTAAGCAAAACAACATTTTTTGGAGGGGTACTACTAATATATTGGTAACAACAATATATTGGTATATTTGGTACCGACACATTGTGCAATATTAGCTAACAATTAAAAATGATATTGAATATCCTGTACAGTAAGTAAAAGTTGCGAAATCCATTTCACACTGACTTTATCACTTTTAACACCATGATTTCAACACAATATCTTTAAATGTTTTCTTTGTTCTCAGAGTATGTGAACCAGGACGTCCCATCAGAGCGTCCCAGCACGCTTCCACGCAAAGCGAGCGAGAGGAGATTCATTAACGGTCTTTGTACAGGGAACAGTGTGGAGAATCCTGAGTACCTGGTGCCTATGGGCAGCATCTCACCCACCTCTCCTGCCTTCGACAACCCCTACTATCATGATCTCGCAGCTAAAGCTCAGGCAGTCGCCAGAGCGTCCATAAACGGAGGTACGAATCACAGGCAGCCCAATGGTTACATGACCCCCACAGCAGAAAACCCAGAATACCTGGGCTTAGCAGAGACATGGAGTGGTCAAATGGAGTATACTTGAGAGGAATCATTCAGTACAGTTTGTGCGCAAGCGTGTGGAGATGAATGTTTGGGTGGGATTTTGTGAAGGACGTTCCCAATGGGAATGGTTTCTAATGGCTTTCTATTAAATTACAATAAAAACCTATGTAGCATTCTGTGGAGTTTGAACTTGAAGATGGATGCATTTCCAGTCTTTGCCAAAATCATCTGACAAAAGCACGGTACGTTTTTTAACACTGGATGATGTCTGTGGATATATGTAATACACTAAGGATTTTCATTTGAATTTTTCATTTTGGTCATCTCGCAAAAACGCTTTTTTTTTTTTTTTTCCCGGAGTTTCAATTCAATTCCAAGCCAGGACCGTACACACTGCTTTACAGAGCGCTGCGTGAGAGCTGGACACAATCAAAGCTGCTCTGTTCTGTGTGTAAAGGGCCTGGGTGCGCAGCTACAGTGCCAGTGAATGAAAGACTGACATTATTGCCGTACCAAACGGATGTGGTGTGTTCAGCCATGCAACTGGCTCTGAAGATTCATCAACATTTCTTATCTGTGGTATATCCAGGTTTTCACATTTGTTTGGGTATTTTTTTTTTTTTTAATTCCTTATGTTTGAGCAATGACTATCTTCATTATATGATGGGTAACAGTTTTACAGATGTATGTGGAGCAAGAGGTGAATCTCAAATAATGTCCAGGTCATATTGCCCCCTAAATTGAAATATTGCACGTAAAGAAAATTCTAATACTATGTTTAGGCATTTGCTTAAAGGGGTCATGGACTGTCTTTTTAAATTTTATTAAATTGTTGTCTGAGGTCAGCTTTTGACGTTCGCTTGGTTTTTGCATTAAAAAACATCAAAATTAATAAGTAATAGGCTATTTTGTACCCTAGTTTTGAGCCTAACTGAAAAATGCTCGGTTTTTATGGGCGTCTCGCACTGAAGACTTGGAAGTAAACACCCACTGCTGTGAGTGGAGAACAGTTTTGCATATTATAATGAGTTTCAACTCACCGGTCGATGCACTTCGGGGAAATTGTTTTGAAAACGTCCAATGTTGTAAAATGGCAACCGGAATGATTCGCCTGTACATGTTCGACCCAGAGTCCGTGTGTTGCTCCATTCCTGATCCAATATAGACGACACAGCACCGTTCTTTACTCTTAATCAGTCTGCAATTACAGTCTTGTTTACAAAACAATCCTCAATGAAATGAAGCGAACAGACAGACAATGTTTTACCTCATTAGCTGGAACGTCATTAAAAATAAAGTTTAACCATGCAGTCCTATTGGAATCCAGAGGAAGACTGTCTTCTTCCACAACCAGGCACTGCACAATATTTTCTATTGCTTGCTCGGTAGCTCGATCCGTTTTGTCATCACGAGGTAGGCATCTATGTTATTTAGCTATGCTTAAAATGTTTCCACAAAAATGTTGAGCAGCACAACTGTTTTCAACATTGATATTCAAATCCGCATATTAGAATAATTTGGTAAAATAATGATGCTGAAAATTCAGCTTTGCCATCAGAAGAATAAATTACCTCTTAAAATATATTTCACAATATTACTTTTTTTTTTTTACTGTATTTTTGACCCCAAATTTTCAAAAACGTTTGAACTTATGATGCATGCAGTTTATAATGTCAAAAGTCTTACTTATTTTGGTACTGGTAAAATTGATTTCCTTTAAGCAAAAATATGATTTTGATTTCGGATTGAAATATAACCTGGACAGAGAGATTCATTCAAGGTGAAAAACGTTTATCTCCTTGTATATTTTTGTTGTACTTTTTAATGTTATCTAACCGAGTTGCTTCTGTGCAACGGTGTATACAATTGGTTATAAATTGACGTGAAGGGGCTTTTATTATCAGACTGGCTGGTTTATTTGTAAAATGATGTTGCGAGCAAGAGAGAAGATGATTTTAGATGATTTCGTTTAATGTGATCATTCATGTTCGTAATGCCTATTATTATTATTATTCTCTAAGGACTTTTTAAGGCACGACACCTCCTACTCATTTAAATTTGCCTCACATATACGCAGACAGGCGGCTAACACTAAACACAGTGTTGTGGAGTAAATCCTTCACGTTTAAGAATGTGGTCTCATTTCCATATATTAGCAGCTGTGGCTCTGGGTGGACGAACGCCCGTTCAATGCCTCCATTGTTCCAAATTACAACGTGTGCCTTTTGTTATACCCGATTCCAGCGTCCAGTTAATATGTCACTTCTTTGAGGAAATAAGTGTGTGTTTTGTCCCTGCCGTGTCAGTGCGCATTCCGTGGTGCCATTGCATGCATTATGCAGTCCTTTTCACCAAACCACATCTTAAATCCTAGATGTTTAAAAATCAGTTGTCGATTTTCCCGATCATGAAGCGAGAAATGTTGCTTTGGGAGAGTGTGAATCAACAGGCACAAATGATGAACTGAGAGTGAAGTGAGAGAGTGATATTATGAGTGCTGTTTCCACGTCAGCCCAAACAATGGCATGATTGTGTTTCAGAATCAGGGATGGGGAAAACACGCTTTGTTGAATTTCTGCCTAGTCTCTGCATAGCCAACACAGCACAGTCTACAGAGTTTTTTGGTCCAGTCGACAAATTAAAATAAATCGAAATAAAATCTGTTCGGGCATCTTGAGCGACCCGGTATAAGTTTAGGGTCAGACTAGTTTTTCGACCAACAGGATATTGGAAGTTTGTTTCTGCCACAGAATAAAAATTTTAAAAAGGTAATTGTGACTTTTATCTCACAATTCAGATTTTTTTTCTCACAATTGCCAGATTCCAAATGTTTTGCGTTCCCCCGAGACACTTTGCGTTTACTCGCAAGGAACACAAAAGGTTTAGTAGCGAATGCAAAAGGTTTTGCGAGGGAACGCAGTTTCTCAGAGGAACGTACTGTAAACATATATATATATATATATATATATATATTACAATTGCAAGTTTCTTCAAAGCAAAATCCCCAGTGTTAAATTAACCCTGAGAGTGTGAATTATATAAACTCTGAGCAGAATGTTAAATGAACACTGAAGCAGTGTTAAAGTTAATGAGATAATTAAGTGAATAATGAGTGATGATTGAGCATTATTGAAGACACCTGATGTTAACAAGTGGAATCTCTGAAGGAGAAAACCGTAATTTTTAGCCTTTTCAATGAAATCCAAACGATCAAATAAAAAAAATCCCAAAAATATCTTATGTAGGCACACACAGACATCAAGAATTAGCGTATAAATCTCAGCAATGGTGACAAACAGATCACCTCATTATTTATTCATACAGCAATGCATGATGGGAGCCATGAATGAGTTTTGATTGGTGGCACCCAGAATGCACTGCAACATGCTTTATAATTGTCACCATTGTTGAGATTCACAGGCTATTAATTATTATTGATGTCTGTGTGTCTTTAAGAATTTCTTTTTAATTGTATAAGAGAAGCTTTTAATAAGTTATTTTGAATACATTTGTAAACGTTCAAAATTGTATTCATTGTTCAGCGATTAAGGTCAAATGATTGTGAAATAACGATTATGTTAAAACACAACCATTACCATCAGATCACCTTTTCTATTTGTTCATCTGGCTGTTATAACATGTCCTGCAGCCAAACAAAATCTGAAGTTTATAAATTATGGGTCAAGAGCCCAACTAAAGCAAACACTAATCACCATAATGGCGACTTAAAAATTCAGGTTTTCTCCTTCAATGATTCTGCTTGTTAACATCAGGTGTCAACATCATCACTCAATTATTGAATTAATTATCTCATTAACTTTAACACTGCTTCAGTGTTCATTTAACACTCTGCTCAGAGTTTATATAATTCACACTTTTAAGTGTTAATTTAACACTGGGGATTTTTTTTTAACACTCTCGGAATTGCTAATAATTCTGACTTTTTTGCAGTAAAAAAAAGTCGCAATTGTCTTTTATATTTATCTTAGTAGTTTTGTTTGATTCAGAAATAAGACACTTCCCCTTTGACCTGTCCATTCTTTGGGTATGTTCTTGCATTATTACTCTTCCTTAGATGCGCAAGATGTAAATTCCAGCATTCACAGTTAAGGACTACACTACACAACTTTTAAAATCTGAACAGATCTTCAAACACTAGACATCACACACTTGCTGACTTTGTAAATGGCTACAGAGAAAAACTGCATCATACACTAAACGCCTCAGTATCACACACTACCAGACTCCGAACACAACAAACTGCAGAAATGTGTGACTCGTTGCTAGGAAACACACGATAAACGAAACACAATGTGTTCTAGAATCAGCTCAAATAAACATGTTTGATATCCTCCGACTAAAGTCTGAAGCTATCATACCATACACGTTCTTCTGTGAAATATTTCAACTTAGACTACCCAAAATCTCAACTTGATCTGACTGCGAATCGGCAAAAAATGTGTACAAAGGTTGTGTAGTGTATTCAGAAAGTTTGACAATGGAAGTAGACACCAAGCATTTAAATTTTAGTTTCAGGGCGCATTTGTAATGCCATAAACCAGCATTGACGCCAACCGAAATTATTTCAGAATCCAATGATATATAAAGTCTATGCAAGCACACTGAAGGAATTGTAAAATCTGTTATTGCCTTGGTTTTTACGAAAATATACATTCTGAATGTTTAATATTGGATGTTGTACTTTTTGATTTTGATGTCATTTTGCTTTTCTTCTTGTGAGCCAACAAATTCAACTGTAAATATTCTGTATAATAATCGACTGGATGCACTGTGATCTGAACACTCAACTTTGAGAACTCTAATGGTACTAGTGTGCAAAAATCATCTTCGATATTTTTTGAAATGTGCTTCTGGGTAACCAGACTGGTGCCAAGTGGCTTATTTTAACTCAATTTGGTAAAAGTTACTTAAAATTAGGGCAAACAATCATCTGCTCTTTCTATTATTCTACAAAAAGTCTGTTGTGAGAAAATAAAAAAGAAATTTATATCAGAAAAAATTCCAATCCATCTTCATTTATGTAATTTTGACATTTGGCTGGGGAATATAAGGAAGTATGACTGACGCCCCACAAAAGTTTTGAAGCAAAATCAGCATAACCTATTCATACTTAAGTTAGTCATTTCATATATATTTTTTTATTGTTTTTATATATAGTTAAACTATACAGAAGTTAGAACTTTTCATCTCAGAATTTTGAGATAGAAACTCGCAATTGTTTTTATGGAAGCTTGTTTTCTACACGGAATAAACATTTTTAAAAGATGACTGCAACTTTTTCTCACAGTTCAGATTTTTTCACTCTCACAATTGTGAGAGAGAAACTCTCAATTGCGAGTTATAAGGTAATAAACTTAATTCTGACTTTTTTTTCTTGCAGTTGCGAGTTCATATCGTGCGATTCTGTCTTTCTCACAATGGTGAGTTTATGCTTTGGAACTCAGTAGCTGACGACCGGAAGTAGTTATACCCGTTTTGTAGAACCCGGAAAAATGTTGCGCATAACCCCTATTGAAAAAAAATAAAGTACAAACTGTGAGGTACTGTATAAATGCAATTGGGAGTTTATAAAGTCACTTATCTCGCAATTGTGAATTTACGTCTCGCAATTCTGACTTTTTTTAAAATAAAAAATATAAACTCGTCGCTACACTGTAAACATTTTTTTTCATGATATTAATCACAACATTTTTTCTTTTGTCAAATCAACTTAAATAATTTATTTAGTTCAGAATCAGATAGCATATAATTTTGAGTTTCTGATGATTAAGTACTGTAATTCTCCTTCATTGTATTAACTCACTTTTTCCATTTCAATGAACTTAAAATTTTAAGGCAACCAGGTTACTTACTTTTTTAAGTTAAACCAACCATATTTTTTTTACGGTGAAACGAGTGCATGTTATAAAGTTAGTATTCGCTCCCATCCAAACCGTTCATCAGTGGTCGCAGTCTATATCAAGCAGGGACACGTTTGTGTGCATTTCATTTTGTGATTTCACCAGAACGGCAATAGATTGAAGAGCACGTCTGAGTGAATAAGACTGTAAATAAAATAAAATAAACATTTAAGTGCTAGATCTATTACTTAATAGCAAACTAAATGAATGCTCTGCTAGTTAACTGGTTATGTTTCATGTATTTGTATACGGTACATCCATGCCTCAATGTTTCAAAAAGTAGTGGGGGACAATATCGATCCGACTTTACTATGACACGACTTTACTGGATCTAAACGAATCAATCTAACCATAGATGTGACCAGCGGTGGCTTTCTATTCTATTTTTCTTTTTAATTATCTTTATGTTTTATAGTGCAATCAATTTATTTGCTAATTGTACATTTTGAAAAAGCATTCTATTATTATTATTTATTTTTGCATTAACCAGGGTTTATAATAAGTAAACAAACAAGTACATGACATTTTTAAAATAGAGTTAGGGTTATCAAAAATGTTCTCCACGAGCGTGCGCACTGAAATTTTACAGAGTCTCACTCCAGCCAAAGTCCCAAAATTGGCAACCCTGTGTATAAACACACAGCCATCTAGTCACAGTGAAGTAATGAGGAAGTAGAAACGGTTATTCCTAAACACCAGAAGATGATAACGTTCAAACTAAAGATAAGAGTACGTTCAGTTGTGAAAATGCAGAGCTGTTTGGCTGTCTGTCGTCAGCAGTTCAGTTCAGGAAATATTGTGATCTTATGGAGACAGTGCCACCCAGAGGCCAGTAAAGGTCCAGCAGAAACACTTTACTAAAATTAGTTTTTAATATAGAAGTGCTTAAAAAATAAGCTTAAAATGCACAAAGAAACCAAGCAAATGCAGACAAATTTAAATTGAGCGTGGATATGAATTTATTTAAAAAAATATGCAATACATTATATCAACATTCCTCCCTAATTACTTTTTAAAAGAATCTCAGGCTGTAATGAAATAGGGGAAACACAAAGATATACAATAAGAGTTTTGATTTAACATTTGTGGTCACTACATACACCCCATACTTCTATTTACGGTGTTTCATAACTAAATTTGAGCTGAAAGCTGCTAAAGTTACTGCGGGAGGAATGATTGGAATACAACACGCTGTTTTAATTTAATGTTACTGGTTTTATTGTTGCAGGGTGTTTATCATGATTAATCTCCAAATGGTGTGGGCAGGTCACGTAGCCTACATCATAAACTGTTTTCAATTTTCAACATATATTCTTTTCCAGCACTAAAATTGTTGAATTCTTAAAATTAGAAAGAGCAGATATTCTAGCCACTGTCCGACTGAACAACGCATTCTCATCCTTTAGCGTCATACGACAAAACGGCACCCGTTATCGTTAATATAACACGCGCTGTGATGGTTAGGTTTAGGTGTGGGGTAGGGTAGGGTAGTCTCATATTACGCTAAAGGATTTATGACGCCTTGGGTTCGCGTGAATATTAACGATAAAGGGTGCCATGTGCGTAGTATAGCGCCGTTTTGTCTATGTGACGATAAAGGATGAGAACGGGCCACTAAATGAAATATGATGATTAACATGATGATTTTATTTTAAAGTAGCGGGTTTTCAAAGAACAGTCCCAAGATTTATCACATTCTTAATGAACATTGTTTTAATTCCATAAAGTAAATACACAGAATATACACAGTTCAATGCCAGTCATACAGAGACATTCCTCAGTTAGGTCTTTCCAAAGGTTTGTCTTCAAGTGTGAGTGTTTCCTGAGTCACACTGCCTGAAGAACATGTACAACAAAAAGATTTTTCTCAAAAAGGTGCCTTTAATGCTAAAAGAGGGTTTGCGCTGGCTCAAGCTGTTAGTAAATTTGACCCATTGAATAGTGAACACTCACAAACACCCGGAGCAGTGGGCAGCCATTTGCTGTGGCGCCCGGGGAGCGATTGGGGGTTGGGTGCCTTTGCTTTGCTCAGAGAATCGAACCCGCAGCAGCTGTCCGGTTACCAGCCTGACTCTTTAACCATTAGACACAACTGCCCACGACTGAGGTTTGAGAACTGTGGCTTATGGAGGATTGTCCATTAGTGTTTCTTGTGCTTTTGTACTCGGCTGAAAGTACCAGTTTGAGTTTTCATGCTACTAGTGCTAGTTTGGGGCTGTCCTATCTGGTGGGCAGCAACACGTGGTTAACCAAGATGATGGAACCGCATGGTCCTCCTGGCATATACCCCACTACACAACATAAGCAGGGGTTTTATCGACGGAGTTTTGATGTGTACTCATTGTTCTGTCATGAAAGCTGGTTGATGGCGTGTTGTGGTTTTAGCTGACTGGCAAGGAAGGATCAGACATGTGTTTTTGAATGTCTTCTGGGTGTGATGAAGTGTCCAGGTTGCCAGGCAACGAGGGAAAGCGGGGAGACGCACAGAGCCGCGGTGCATCTATTAGCGCTGGAGTTGAGACAGCATTGGTTTCTAGTTTATCAGGTTCGCAGTCATCTGACGCGGCTCCCATGTGAACGCCACTGGACAGAGAACCCTGGGAATTTGACTTGAACATGGATTCTGGCTGGGTTGAACTCTGGAAACACAGTTTTAAAGATTTTTCATTTGGTTTATTGTTCATTCTTGTAAAAAAAAAAAAAAACACAAACAAAGTTTACTTCAGCTTACTGTGGGTATCGCTAAAGGTTAGTATTTAGGATCAGGATGGTTTTGGAACAACAATTCTACACATTCAGATGTTGCAAGTCTTGTGAATGATGCAAACAGAGTTCAATTTTCCTGTACAGCTGCTCTAAAAAGAAAATAGTGTCATTGTTCAGCTTAAGTCAGTTCAGTGTTGATACAGTTCCGTTGTAAAGAACATTAGTTCCATTATCCGGCTATATTAAAGGAGCCGTATGCAAGATTGTGGCCAAAACTGGTACTGCAATCACTTTCAAATGACTGACTCAAGGTTGCCAGATATGCTGCAGGATCCAATATTTTTTTATCCGACACGTTTGTATCTGCAGCTGTGGTAACTAGAGCAGAGCTGGCAACCCGAATGCCGCAACACTACCGTCTCCGTGATTGGTAGATCGGTGGAGCATCAGAACAAAACACAACATGACAACATCAACATCAGTTCACTTTTTAAATGACAATATCCTGGCTGGACTACTGTTTTCAGTGATATAAGTATTTGAAATGAACATGATTTCTTAATGTCTAGTGACATTTTAGGGCCATTTTATAATTATTTGAAATACATTTCTTAGATACAGCTCCTTTAATTAGTTAAATTCGGCTATTGACCATTTCACAAGATGTAAACACTGGTCCAGAAGCACTTCCTGTTTCAGTTTTTTTAACACTACATAAAAGCTGGGATAAAATACAACCAACAGAACATTTAAAACTGAATCAAAAAGTTAAACAAACATCTTTAAGATGTTTTCTTTACATGTGAAATAAAGAAAACAGTTACAAACTGAAACAGGAAGTGCTTCTGGACCAGTGTTGTTTACATTTAGTGAAATGGTCTATAAAGCAGCTCAGCAAAAACAGTGATGGACGATGACAATGAACTGATTTCAGTTGATCAATGACACTATTTTTTAGAGCTGCTGTACAGTCAAGATTGCATCATTGAAACATTGTCCTGTTATTACTGCAATGCTGCTTTGAAACAATCTGTATTCCTAAAAAATAAAGGTGTCTTGACTTGTGAAAAAGTACACTTGAACATACTTTTAAAAGTATGTAATAGTATAATTAATAATATATACTTCAGTGCAAACTCCCACACTTTAATATTTTTTTTTCTATTGAAACTTAGTCATATTTAAATATATTTATTTATTTTTATATATTTTTTAATTAATTAAAGTTTTAATTTTATTACCTTTAAATGTAATCTCAAATATAACGCACTTAAGTGAAATTATAATCAAGTGCTTTACATGTGCTTTAGTATGTTAGTCACAACAAAACAAGTGTAGGCTACTTCTTAAAAGAAATTTGACATGATTACAAAGGGCACTTTTAAAGGTGTACTTAAAGGGATAGTTCACGTTGAAATTAATTTTTGATATGTTTTATCTTACCTCAAGGGCATCCAAGATGTAGGTGTCTTTGTTTCCACAGTAGTTTCAATTTTGATATTTTTAGGTCAAACCGTTCTAAACTGTCAGTCATATAATGGAGGTCTATGGTCACCACCTCAAAGAGCATGCACAGAGAAGTCCAAATTAAACATAATTTAATGACTCGTAAATGTAAGTACACATTGATGGCCTAAGACACGAAACGAGCGGTTTGTGTGAGAAAACGAACAGTATTTATATCGTTTTTACCTCTTGTAACCACAGTCAATATCAAAATTGAAACTACTGTGGAAACAAAGACACCTATATCTTGGATGTCCATGAGGTAAGCTAAAACATATCAAAAATTAATTTCAAAGTGAACTTTCCCTTTGAGTTTGTTCAGAAACAGTCATGAGAGTGTACTCTCTTTAAGTACATTCAAGTGTCCTTTTATATTTTACTTTACTAAGTGGCCGTTAACATTATATCTGAAAGTAGTTTTTTTTTTTTGGACAGCACTTTTACCTGAATGGCAGTGCTTCTACTGTCCAGTTGAATATTTGTAATGGGGAACATGCTGTGAAGTACCGGTGTGCTGCTTCCATACAGTGTTGCGGGGTCAGGAATGTGGTTGTCAGGTAAAACAGAGCTATACGCTGGAGGCACGGGTGCAATCTGTCTCTGGAGAAGCTGAAGAATCACATTGATGTCTGCTGTCATTCTGGTCTCTAGCCTAAGAGAAAGGGAGCAGAATGCTGCAGTATTTAAGTCGTTATTTGCTGGACATCTTGCCTTAAACCATTCATTTATCAAGTTATGTGACACGTGAGAATCAGTGGCGAGAAGAGCTTGACAGCCCCGGGTCGCTGTATGAGTTTAATCAAGAGAGTGGTTTGGGGCTTGGCTGCTGTCAGAGGGTGTTTAGTTGCTGTGGGACCATGGCTGATGCATGGGAAGATGTAACCCCTCTTTGAACCAGCGTCTCTGGCATGGGAAGCAGGCATGCTAACAAGAGTGCTAAAGATTGCAGCCTCTAGCATCAGTTGAAGCCAGGGGAATGAGGTTTACTTGCAAAGCTCTGTTACACTCACCCCCCTAAGGCTCACGTCAGCAATGTAACCCCTCCGGTTCTACTTGCACTGCTCCAAATGGTATTAGAACTGACACAGGAGACGCTAAAGACCGCAGCTTATAGAGCGTCAGTTGCTAATGCACCACTTGAAGGCAGGCGAGTGAGGTTTTTTACACATAAGCACACACACACTGCAAGATGTCTGTTAAAGATCACTTCATCTGGAAAGCATCTGCCGTTTACTAACGTCTGATAGACGTCTTTAAAGGGATAGTTCACTTTGAAATTAATTTTTGATATGTTTTAGCTTACCTCAAGGGCATCCAAGATGTAGGTGTCTTTGTTTCCGCAGTATTTTCAATTTTGACATTTTTCAGTCAAACTGGTGTTGTCTATCAGTCATACACTGGAGGCTAAGGGGGTCCACCAAAAAGCATGCACAGAGAAGTCCAAATTAAACATGATTTAATGACTCGTAAATGTAAGTACGCATTGATGGCCTAAGACACGAAACGAGCGGTTTTTGTGAAAAAACGGACAGTATTTATATCGTTTTTACCTCGTTATTTTTGTCACTTTTTGAAGTTTAGTGACAACATGTTACAATGTTTATGGTACAATGACTGGTAGGCTACTGTTTGTATTATTCAATTAAATTCTTGGATTTGATTTCAGTCTTAATTCAATATTGACTCTTTTGGATAAATATTAGGTAGGCCCCAGTCTTTTATATTTCTCAAGAAAAAAAAAATACACATAATGCTGTAAACATACAGAGAGAAATTAAATATAATATTTAGCAAAAATACTCCTTGCTATTTTTTTCTATTCAACTAATTTGCTGGTCATTAAATGGCTTTCCTGAGGTAAATGTAACGTTTTGTGACACAACTGTTACTGACCTGCAGTGTTACTGACCTCTTTCCGTGTTTAAAAACACTTATTGATCGTTATTATGTATATAATAAGTAAATATACCTTTCGGTAAGTTGTACTGTATCTTTAAATAAAAACGAAAGTGACATGATCGGTTTACTTGAACTGAGGAGCAACGATCTGTGATCAGAACCTAAGAGCTGATTTATCAATAACAACTTTCATATCAAAAGTAACCTGGTCTGTCTAGTCTGTCGGTGTCAGTGTCCTCTTTGCTCTGTGATTTTTCTCTGTGGGAGAGTGTGTGAAAAGTGTCAAATGCGTTAAGCGCCTTTCAGACAGGACGCGGAATGCGCGACGCTGGCCGCTTGGTTCAACGTTGCCCTTCAGATACAATGCGATTTGCCATTTTACAAATAAAAAGTTGAACTATTTTGAACTTTAACCCCGGCGTGTGTTGGTCGATGCAGGTCGACGCAGCAGCAAAACATCCCTGCGTGTCGCGCGCGTATTCCGCGTCCTGTCTGAAAGTCTCAAGCTGAATGTGTGAGAGTTGGCAGCCCTGCGGGGATAAATCGTCGTGAGTGTTCCGCCATGCTTCTACTCCATGTGAGGATTGTTTGACTAGTGCGCACTGTCGCATGCACACAGTGCTTATGTGGGGATTGTTTACATCAGAGTGCGTGCGTGTTTTGCGCAGCATATAGGCTACGCAGTGTTTGAGCGGTTGATGGAAAATAAGTTAATGCACGCTCTAAAAGTCTAAATTCGAATCTATTATTTTTCACGGTATTTTGAAGAGCCCGCGATAACAATATCGTGCATAATGTCCCACCCGTCCCCCCTGTAAATGACGCCTATGTAAATATGTTTAGATCTTCACAGTGAAAGGTAAATCTTTCAAATCTCTGTGTAAACAATGAGTGACGTACACACGCAAGCGATCCCTTCCGGCGCATGCGCAGACCGGAGCGCCCGTGTCGTCAGATCAGTTGGACATGGTGATTACAAGAAGTAAAAACGACATAAATACTGTTCGTTTTCTCACACAAACCGCTCGTTTCGTGTCTTAGGCCATCAATGTGTACTTACCTTTACTCTTAAGAGGTGAACCGAGGGTGGACCCCCTAAACCTCCATTATATGACTGATAGACAACAACGGTTTGACGGAAAAATATCAAAATTGAAAATACTGTGGAAACTAAGACATCTACATCTTGGATGCCCTTGAGGTAAGCTAAAAAATATCAAAAATTAATTTCAAAGTGAACTATCCCTTTAACTGTTCCTATAAGATACCTCATGAGCTGACTTTGCAGGAGCTCCAGTCTGGAGTCAAGTTCGCTGGGATGATGATCTGGAAAGAGTGGTGGAGGACATGAGGTCCAGACAGAGGGGAGGCACTGAGACTGTTCAGCATAATGAGCAGCCTGGTGGTCAGTCCAGTAATGGTACAATCCAGATGGAGGAGGAGCTGCTGTTAGGAGGAGATATTGAATAATAACAAATCCAACAATTTAAGAAAAACATTAATATTTACAATACGTCATTTAAAGTTTGAGAGATTTTACGGGTGCAGTAATTTTTCAACTGTAAAAATGTTTAGCACTAAAATAGTGTTTGAAATGACCTACAATGACCCCAAATTAGTCAATAAATTCCTGCAGTGATGACATATTTTTGTAGGCAAACCTACAATTTTTTTTTTTTTATGATGGACGAAAGTTTCCGAGGCATTGTTTAAGCGTGATTGACATAACTTGAGGTCGTATTAATTTTTTACGCGCAACCTTTAGCATCACCCTCGTTCCCTTTATAAAAACCCAATAGGATTTTTCCATCGGCTTTTAGATTATTGCAGAAAATAAGCTCATTGATAACCAAAGTTTATGATACTAACACATTTTATTCATCATAATAATCTTTTTAAAATTTAAAATTAAAACAACTTTTATGAATTTTGAAGCCTAAATAGAATGTCCAGATACAAAAACAATATCTATGCTATAAACAAACTACACCACACTCGCACGACTTTAACTAGTGAGTAGATGTGTTTTCCTGTTCGGCGTGATGACGTTTAATGTCCCCGACAACCTCTGTATACTGTAGTCCTCCTACTTAAGCACTTGTTAGCAACCGCCTTTTTTAAGACAATTAAAACCTTAAAAAAATCACAAGGGGAGTATTACTGTATTTTATGTCATAGAATAAGATTTGAGCTTCTAATATCTTGAGCTTCTGTTAACCACAGAGCATATTTCAGGCGTTTAACCAAAACCTCATTCCAACAATCCACTGAACTGGAAGTGCTATGATGAGGTGGTGATGGCGCAGTGGATAAGACACATGTCTTTGGTGTGAGACACCCGGGTTCGAATCCACTGTGAGACACGACATGTAACCCATAGTTGCTCCAGAGGTGTGCGACCTCTGACATGTATAGCAATTGTAAGTCATGGATAAAAGCGTCAGCTAAATGAACAAATGTAAATGTAATGTAAATGTAAAATGCTCACCCATTTCTGGGTTTTGGCCTACAAATATATGTCATCTCTACAGCACTCTATGGTTTGGTTTCAGGACCCAGATTTTTTCATATTACATGTATTGTATGTATACCCACCCAACTGCCCCATATCCATGCCAGGCTCTCTGCTGTTCCCAGAGGCGCCACTCGCTGGTATTAGTCTCACAACAGGAGAGGGGAAGTCCAGATGGTCTGCTTCAGAGGTATACAGCTCACAATGGCTGATGGGAGACTTGCTGAGGCTTTCGCTGGACTGCGATGTGGAGCTTGCACAGCTGCACAGCTCCTCCCAGTGCATGTGAGCAGTCAGAGAATGGTGATGACCCAGCGCCGAACACGTCCCAGATGGGTAAGAGTCATTCTGGTCCATTCCATCTGAGTAGCAAGAAAAAAAAAGTGTACTTTCACAATCTATTTGCTGAATTTGTATTCATACGGACTTTTTTTTTTTAGTTAGTTGATCCAAATATTTTTTTTACACAATCTAGAAAATTATTCTCGTCTAAAATGAGGGTATGTGAATTGTGAACTGTGAATTAAACTATTCTGAAATATGTTTTAGTTTGTTTGTACAGTTAAAACATTTTTACTTTGTAAATGTTGACTTCACAATATTAAAGTAGTTCGGTTTTGAAAAAAACTTTTGCTGATAATTTACTCACCCCCATGTCATCCAAGATATCCATGTCATTCTTTCTTCAGTCGAAAAGAATTTAAGGTTTTTGATGAAAACATTCTTGCATTTTTCTCCATATAGCACTACTGACCGGTTCAATTCCAAAAGACAGTTTCAGTGCAAACTGTTCAAAGGGTTTTAAAAGATTCCAGATGATGAATAAGGGTCTTATCAAGCGAAACGATCGCTAATTTAATAAATAAATAACAAAGGTTTAAGTTTTATAAGCTCAAATGGTCGCCTTGCTCTGTACTGCGATGCACGCTGTCGTGTTCGAACTCGTTCATCAAAATGAACGGATCTTTTTCCGAGTCATTTGGTTCATTCAACGAACGAAAGGAACGATTTGACTCGGAAAAAGATTCGTTCATTTTGATAAACGAGTTCGAACAGGAGAGCCACGAACGTGCATCACAGAACAGAGCAAGTTCTGACCATTTGAGTTTTTAAAACTTAAACTTAGTTTTTTTTTTTTTTTTTTTTTTTTTTTAATGAGCAATCATTTCACTTGATAAGACCCTTATTCATCGTCTGAAATCGTTTAAAGCCCTTTGAACAGTTTGCACAGAAAGTGTCTTTTGGACTTTGAACCGTTTGGTTCACATTGAAGTGCATTATATGGAAAAAAAATGCAGGAATGTTTTCATCAAAAACCTTAATTTCTTTTCGACGGAAGAAAGATAGACATGGACATCTTGGATGACATGGGGGTGAGTAAATTATCAGCAAAAGTTTTTTTGAAACGTGAACTACATTATTCTATGTCTCAAAGGGTATTTCAGAGTTTGTTTGTGGGTGTTCTCCTCACCTGGCCGGTTGCGCCTGTCTATTGAGTTTTGTCTGTGTCGTATTCGGCTTGCATGGTAACCGCAGTCCAAGTTTTCACTTTCCATCATCTGTTCAGCCTGATTACATACCAATTAAAACAATGATTACTGTACAGAGAGGATTTTTCTCAATGTTTCAGGTCAATTTAAATTATATTAATAATGTCTCATGCGTTGTGGAAAAAGTACACTTTAGCATCCTTTTCAAAAGCGTAATTATTACAGAAATTATATACTATAAAAGAGACTTAAGAGCGAAATGAATTTGGTGTTTTCGGAGATTTACCGTAAAATTGCTTGTTAATTGTAATTAAATCAAAATGCTTTATAGTTTAAATTAAAAACTATAGAGTGCTTTTCATTCAAGGAGGACTAAATTGCATCTTTACTGGTTTCACAGACAGGGCTTTGATTAAAAAACATTACTGATATGCATCTTGAGACAAAACCTTGTCCCTGAACTATTTTAAGACATGCCAGAGCAAGTTGCTTTCAGTTAAAACAGTTAAAAACATGCATTTTAGTCTGGGACTAGATTAAGCCTTGTCTGTGAAACCGGGCATGTAATTTATTTATAATAATAATCTCTATCGAAACTTAGTTTTGTATGTCATGTATTTAAATATATTTGTAATTGCACATTTGTAATGAAGTTGCAATGTAATACATTTAAAATATATTAACTTAAAGTGTAATCAAATAAAACACCAAAAGATTTTTAACACATGACTTAAAAGTGAGCTAAAGAAGTCATGAAAGTAGTGTACTCTAGAAAAAACATGCACATTCAGTAATATTACACACACTTTTTTCACAAGTCATATAAAATAATTAAAATTATTGTGATTATTTATTATTTCTGTCATAATAATGACTTTGAATCCATCACCAGAAAATTGGTTTGAATCCATCCTACAGTATATTCTCAATTCATTTATTCTTAAATGCTAGATTTATCAATGTTTATAATATATATTTACTTTTGTGAGGAATTGATTTTATTAACATTAATTAATCCAATTAATAATAATTTCCTTGGAACATAAATGTTTATGTTTTCGTCTTTTTTTACTTCAGTACTCAGGGTATGTGTAAATGTGTTTGGGACGTTGAGTTTACACACGTCTCGTAGGTTAAAGGTGATTTCTAGTTTCCTCCAAAAGCTCTCTCCAAAAGCAGGGTACATGTCCAGCACCTCTATGAGGTCGTCTCTTTGGATACGGTGAAGGTCACAGTAGGTTAGTGCAGTAACATCAGCATTACAGCGACCAGGATCTGGGTAAAGATTTATGGGCTCGCCAAAGATGTCGTTCTTTCCTGTACAGTACATGAAACAGCAAGTTGTTTTTATTATGTCTCAAACCCCCAATGGATCAGAAAGCTGTTTGCTCAGGTGTAACATGAATCTCACCCAGTATGGCCAGCACAGTGTTATGTCGCGACACTTGAATGGAGCCCCGGGAGATGAAGTGCAGAGCTCTGAGCATGTCGCCCTGATGATAGAGGGTGTCTCCGGGTGGCGAGTGGGTGGTTTTGAAGCGCATGGAGAGAGCTCTCAGGCACGCTTTATTTGCCCCACGAAACGCTTTACAGCTCTGCAGCAGAGTACGATTCAGATGCAGGCAAATGTCAGCTTGCAAACACTCTGGAAAACCTCTCAGGACCTGTGATTAGACAATAAGTGGAATGATTGGGTTTTTATTCATACCAGGAGTAGACAACAATGATACTTTGGCTATTGATAACCTACTCCGTTCATATTAATGCCATTGGTGTAGGACCAGGCATGTTGGAAATATTCCTCCAGTCTCTGCCTCAGATCTCCAGGTATCTGATGGAAGCGGATGAACTCTTTAACCCGCAGCAACTGGGTGTGATAGCGTGTTGTTCCAGAGTAAAGCCTCTGAATTATTGCTGAGACATTCCCAAATATGCTGGCATACATGAGAGCTACAACAAAAAAATCAATAGGAGAATATTTAGTCAACAGTGCATTTTTTTTTACATTAAGAAAAGGTAAGTTATAAAGGTGGAGTACGCAATTTTTGAGAAATGCTGTTGAGAATTTAAATCAACACCCAAACAAACTATTTTGTGCTAGATGTTTATGTGTGTGTGCTGAAAAAATATTATGTTTATACAGTCCTGGCTGTGAAAATAAGAGAAAAAAATAGTGTATAGGACTGAACAAAACACTCTTGTAGCCAATCGTCCTCCTGATGGGGAAGGAGAAAGAGTGAGCAAGTGGGACATTTCTAAGGCTGTGTTTAAAGGCCCATTGAAATGTCAGGAAACGTGCAGGATTATTCAATGTGGTGATGTCATTTTCACTGAAAAAGAAAGAGAGGGCGGGTCATATCTAACAGATCCTCTCCTTTTTTTAAAATAGCCAATAGTGTTTTGTTTATATTGAAGCTCGACCAGAGCCATTGAGCTCGATAAAGCCGGAGTTTCCTCCTAACATCCAACAGTTTCTTCAACTAATCTCCTCCATATCACTTTAAAATATAGCATTCTGTGAATTCAAATGCGTTTTTGCCTTGAAAAATGTCAGATGCGGGCAGTGGGATGGAGAAAACCGCAAGGTCTCGAAATGCATCTTTTTAAAAGTTTAACTTTTTTTATTTCTTAAAGGGTTAGTTCACCCAAAAATGAAAATTAAGTCATTAATAACTCACCCTCATGCTGTACCAACCCCGTAAGACCTTCGTTCGTCTTCGGAACACAAATGAAGATATTTTTGATTAAATTTGAGAGGTGGATCACTGCTACATAGGCTCCTAAGGGATTGAAACTTGACGGGCCAGAAAGTAATTGAAGAAAATATTTAAATATTCCATGTGACGACAGTGGCTCAACTATAAGTTTATCAAGCGACGAGAATACTTTTTGTGCAGAAAAAACAAACAAAAATAACGGCTTTATTCGACTATTCCTTTTCTTCCTTGTAGGCCTGAGACGAGAGTTCAAGAGATGTCCACGACGCATGCAAGAGAACTGAGCCTATGTAGCAGTGATCCACCTCTCAAATTTAATCAAAATCTTCATTTGTGTCCCGAAGATGAACAAAGGTCTTATGGGGTTGGTACAGCATGGGGGTGAGTAATTAATGACTTAATTTTCATTTTTGGGTGAACTATCCCTTTAATCATTTGAATGATCCCTACACCCTATATAGTGAACTATGAGTCATTCACCATGTAAATAACAGTAAATGTGTAAACAAGTGACCAATTTTAGCTGAAGCTTTAGTGTCTATTTGGGGGCGGGACGCTGTAGATTCTAGAGAGCATTTGATTGAACATAAAATCTGATAAGAACACTGGTGGAAGTGAGAGACTGTTTTGAATGCTTATATCTTCTAAATGCAAATTTTGTCATTGTTTTGGAGCACACTAGCTTATAGATAACAGTAAGACTAAAATAATCATACCAAAAAACAAAAAAATTTCATCAATTTTGTGGGGACTTTAAGTCAAATTTTTTTCTTGTACATCCGAGTACATTATTGCTCCCGATGCATGAGTGCCCGCTTACTGGCAGATTTGCTGACGTCACAATTATGTTGCATTGTGGTCAATGGATCTGCCTGAAGTTTACATTGAGTAGCTCCCAATGTAAAAATAACAGCGTCAAGTGTCTGTCCAAATAACTTTCTCTTACCCCGAGGGGAAGTACTTAAGGAAGTTTGTGAGTGTGTAAAAGAGATAAACGCAACCAAAAAAAGAAAGATGGCTAAAATGTTCCAAAAGAGGATAAGCTCAGTTATAACTGGATAAAAGAAGGGTTACATTCAGGCAAAAGCTAGGACCTGCATTAAAATTGGAAAAGCTTTTTAGTGCTGGAGTGACATTAGAGATTGGGAAGCCCTGAAGACGGATGCCGAGGTTTCTTTGGTTTATTTCTTTGTTTTTGCTCTATTGTTTTTTGCATGTTTCACTAAACTAAGATAAAGTATGCGGTTGTTGTTGAATCACAGCCGATTTATCCATACTTAAGCGAGCTGGGTGATGTGCCGGCTATAGTTGCTGGGTTGCATAGCATGTTCATTATTTTGGGGGGCGTAGCACTTTTTTTTTTTTTTTTGTGCTAGGGGTGTGTTTGCTTGGGTGTCGATTTCAAATATCAACAGTGTTTCTCAGAAATTGCTTACTGCAACTTTAACTAAATCTGAAACTAAAAGTAAAACCATAACCATCTGGTATATAGCATTTGCCCACGACATAAACATTCCCACTGAGCTTAAAAGGTAAAGGACTCAGGCTAAAAATAGCAAGCGTTTCAATATTTTACAGACAAATTAAAATATCTGTCAAGAGAATTGTTCAGATCCCCCATAAGTCTGGTTATACTCTTTTTGGGTTCCCAAAATAACCTTTCAAGGAACAGGTTTTATAAGATCCATTTTTTTTCTTAGTGTGTATAACTTTTTTTATATAATCTTGTGCAATTGAAAGATTATATGGATGTTTAAAGGTTATTCATGGAACCAAAGATGCCAATAAAGCCCTTTTATAGAGTGTAGGTCACCAACATTAGTTTTTAGGTCTAAATGTTACTCGCCAAGTAGTCTAAAGAAGGGATTGAAGAAGTGTCCAGGACATTGGGACAGAAATGGCAAATTTAAGTGTGAAATAAAGAGCTTTTTACAGTTACTTACAGCCAATGAGCATGACGCAGATTGAGAAAAGCTTCTCAGAGTTGGTGTTTGGAGAGACGTTCCCAAAGCCCACACTGGTCAGACTACTGATGGTGAAATAGAGTGCAGTGATGTATTTATCCTGATTGGAGGGTCCTGAGCTGGCATCGCTGTCGTTGTAATGCTTTCCCAGTTGATCTGCCAGGTTATCCAGCCAACCTGTCTTCATGTAAGGCCTCTCCACATGGCCAATGGCATACCAGATACAAGCCAACCAATGAGCAATCAGCAAAAAGGTGCACATGAGCAAAAAGAGGACTGCAGCTCCATACTCTGAGTATCGATCTAATTTTCTGGCCACACGGACCAACCGCAGCAGACGAGCAGTCTTCAACAGGCCAATGAGAGTGGCTGTCATCTGCAAATTGGATGATGGACAAAGAAAGAATAGTGAGGATCATGAAACAAATAGTGACCCCCAGTCCGATATCCCTTGTGAAACCAAAATACTTTTAAAATGAGTACTAATTACGCAAATAATATCCTTTAAAAGAAGTTCAGTGCAAAATGAATGCAATGTTTAGTTTATGTTTAGTTTGTTTTATATATACATATATATATATACAGTGCCCTCCACAATTATTGGCACCCCTAACAATTCCACTGAAAAATGTAATTGATTTTTTAAAAAAAATATATTTTCTGTAGTTGCTAATGTTGGTCAGGATATCTAGGAACTTTTAATTAGTAATTCATGACTTCCTATTTCCCTGGGGTATAAATATGACATGACACAGAGGCCTAATTCTCTTACCCATTTGTCAACATGGCAAAGACAAGAGAACACACCATTCAAGTAAGGCAGATGTGTGATGACCTTTATAAGTCAGGCAATGGCTACAAGAAAATAGCCACTCACCTTATATTGCCCATATCTAAAGTTAGAGGAATCATTAAGAAGTTTAAAACAACAGGAACAGTGACAAACAAGGCTGAAAGAGGTCCCAAGTTTATCTTGCCACAACGCACTGTGAGGAGGATGCTAAGAAAAGTAAAAAAAAGTCCTAAGCTCACTGTCACAGAATTGCATCAAATAGTGGCATCTTGGGGTCACAAAATCTCCAAAACAACCATCAGACGCTCTCTACATGCCAACAAGATGTTTGGGAGGCATGCTAGGAAAAAGCCTTTTCTCACTAACACTGACAAACGTAAACGTCTGGAGTTTGCCAAGCGGCACTGGGACTTCATCTGGGATCGTGTGCTTTGGTCGGATGAGACTAAGATTGAGCTTTTTGGCAACAAACACTCTAAGTAGATCTGGTGTAAAACAAAAGATGTGTATGCCGAAAAGTACCTCATGCCCACCGTGAAGTATGGTGGAGGATCTGTGATGCTGTGGGCCTGTTTCTCTTCCAAAGGCCCTGGGAACCTTGTTAGGGTGCATGGCATTATGAACGCTTTGAACTACCAGGACATTTTAAATAAAAACCTGATGGCCTCTGCCAGAAAGCTGAAGATGGGTCGTCATTGGGTCTTTCAGCAGGATAATGATCCAAAACGTGTGGCAAAATCTACACAAAAATGGTTCAGTCACAAACTCAAGGTCCTCCCATGGCCATCTCAGTCCCCAGACCTCAATCCAATCGAAAACCTGTGGGGTGAGCTAAAGAGGAGAGTGCACAAGAGAGGGCCCAGGATACTGGATGATCTAGAAAGATTTTGCAAAGAAGAATGGTGAAAGATCCCTCTCTCTGTGTTCTTCAATCTTGTGAAATGTTATAGGAGGAGATTAAGTGCTGTCTTGTTGGCAAAAGGGGTTGTACAAAGTATTAACATCAGGGGTGCCAATAATTGTGGGACACATGATTTGAAGTTTTATTTTTTTAAATTTTAAATTTTTTTTTTACCACCAAAGTAATGTACTTAAATAAAAGGTTGGATTTTTCTCTTTTTTTGCATTTGGATTCTATGTTGTTTAAAAAAAAGGGAGAATTTTTAAAAGTCCTCGACCACATCTTAAACAGGGGTGCCAATAATTGTGGAGGGCACTGTATATATATATATATATATATATATATATATATATATATATATATATGTGTGTGTGTGTGACTAATTACTTTAAAAAGGGACAAAATGATAGTTATAAAAAGGTTAAAAAACAACCTGGTCTAAATAAAGTATGTTGCAAATTTAGTTGCATTATATCAACTACAAAATAGAAAGAGATATATACAAATGGAAAATAAAGACAAAATGCTAGAATATTCAAATGTGCTAAAATTAAAAGTGACATTCTGGGAAATGTCTGTATTAAGACTGATATGTAAACATTTATATTAAAGATGTATTTTAAACAAATGTATATGAGGCCCATAACTGAAACTTGTTCTCTTTCATCATCTCAATGTCTGTCGAATCTTTCAAGATCCACCAATGGGAAGGGCATCAGTACCTGACCTCTGCAGAAGCGTCCAATTGGATCAAAGGCTGGCTTGACAGCGTGTTCAATGCCAGGTAAGGGACCGTCCCTTACCAAAGTGCATAAAACACCCAACATGCACTACCTTTCCTCGATTGACATTCGCTTCTTGCAACCTCTTGGTTATTTTCTCACAGCCCATTGGATTTTTTTCAGACGTTCAAATGTGTCTTCCGGAGGACATATTGCTCAGATTAGCCTCTGCTGGTCATCGTCTTGCTCTTCATTAAAGCTGCATCATCCTGCAAGCCGTCCACGCTGCACTTTACATTAGGCTGTCTGCCTTTTTTCTCGCTTGTTTCCTTCTGTCACGGCTGCCAACTGTTTGGATTTTAATGCCCATTCCGACAGTGCTTTCCATATCTGCAGCTTCCACCAACGATAGCCTGACGCATGCCTGCCTGGCCGAGTGTGGTGCGCTCAAAGGCTTTCTCATCCTTATAACTCCGTAGTTGGCACTGGCCTCAAGCATGAGGAAGAAGAGCGCTGTCTGGTGCTTCAAAAGAAGCCCCGGCGCCACAGGCACAGGCTAAGGTGGCACTAATTAAAGTGTAGATTTCGAACAGTCATACTTTGACGGAGGAAACACCAATGATATCCTGCACCCAGGGGACTCCAAGCTTTAAGTTGGGTTGACAAAGCCCAGTCTGCCTTCCTTGAGGACATCTTAACGGAAGAACGCGAACTCTCATTTGCAAATGGACGAGGATGACGCAGTCCTCCTTGATTGCTCGGAGCACGAGGAGGCTATCCTGCCTTGTGTCACTCCTCAAGCTCACGTGTCTGCTGATCAATCTGTCCTCATTGAGTGTTGTGAGCGAGCAGCAGCTTGCCTCAATACTGAATGGACGGCATTACAAAGCGCCACTGACTAGGAGAGGGACGTCTGTGATGGGAAACTCCTGAGACCACCTCCTGGCCCAATAAAGCAGCCGCTCCCTGTCATTCCAACTTGTGCCAAGCACATGAAGCACAGCTGGGGAGAAAGTCTTCAGTCTCAAGGAGAAAGTCATGATGGCCCTCGGCATGGCTAACCCCACCCCCTGCCATCGAGCCCTCTATCGTCAGACATCTCGACCCTTCTCGTCCCTCCCAAGCCTGTTCACCCTAGAAAAATGGATCACTTCTCTGCATCCATCCATCAGGCTTGCTACAAGGCCTTGGCATTAGCTCTCAGAGCTTTCTACGTCTCCTCTGTGCTCTCAGCTTAACAGGCCGATCTTCTCGTTGACATGGGTCAGCAGTTGGAGAAAGGGCCATCCCCGCCCTCGCTCTGGAAGGTGATCGTCAAGGTTAACAATCTCGTTCTCTGCAATGCCCGCCAGGGCATTCACGCTTTATCTCAACAGCCTTTTGAGCATTCAGGGGACATAACACACTCTCAAGTTAATCTTGAGTACCTATAGAGTAGTATTATATCCTTCAAATCTCCGAAGAGTCTTTAGTTTTATCAGATACGCTGCAAAAACAGCCAGGCGTTCCCTGAAGCACTGCCGACGGATTCTGTAACCCGAACTTGCACGTTGATGGGCACGCTCTTGCTCTTGCTCTTGTTGATGTGCGTGCACGCTCTTCCGGGAGAAGTGCCCATTCAAAGAAATCCACACTTCATGTCACCATACAGGGACATACTTGAAAAACAAATTCCAAAATGTATGCCATATGATCTAGGAGAGTGCAGTCTCCAGGCGGCCTCAGAGCATACTCCACTAGGGGTAAGGTTGCCTCTTAGGCTCTGTTTAAGAGAGTTTCCTTGCAGGATATATGTGCCGCTGCAAGCTGGGCCTCTCCCAATACGTTTGTCAGATTCTACTGGCTTGATGTCAACAGGACCCTGGTAGCCCATTCTGTCCTGGGTGCACTCACTTTGTGTGTGGGTTGCTACTTTGTAACATGTCATGCACCGCCTTTCCAGGTGACCCTCCTCTGGCTTTCAGGGCCTCACTGTGAGTGTATTCCACCACCTTTACTTGTATGGAAAAGGACTGGCATCAAGCAGGAGACAAAATTGAAGGTCTACCGGGCTGTTGTTTTGCCAACTCTTCTGTATGGGTGCAAGGCTTGGGCAGTCTAGCGCCATGCCAAAAAACTGAATCATATCCATTTGAGCTGTCTGAGGAAGCTGAAATATCCCCAGCATCTACACCATGCTTTCGAAGGAACAGCTTATATGGACTGCTCATGTGACTAGAATGTCTTATGTGAGACTTACAAAACAAGTCTTCTTTAGCGAGCTGAAAAAAGGCTAGCGAGCACAAGGTGACCCCAAAAAGCGCTACAAGGACTCTCTTAAAGTTTCCTTGAAGAGTTTTGGACTCGACCTGAAAGGCTGGGAATCCCTATCACAGGACTGATCTGCCTGGAGTAGAAAAGTCCAGGATGGTGCAATCTTCTGTGAGAGCAGGAGAAGCTCCTGTGCCATCTTGAAGAGGCAGCAGCCAAATTTACAAAGGAAGAACACGTGGCTGCACCTCAGATTTCTACATCCTTCCTGACCTGTCCAATGTGCCACAGGGAATTCCGGCCTCGTATTGGCCTCTTTAGCGATCAGCGCACTCACCGAAAGCAAACAAAATGACAAACACGCCATGGTCATCATCAACTTTTGTTGGACGAACAAGAATTGGGCAACCGGGGAGCTGTCCATATCTCCCATTGAGGGACTTCAAACACAAGATGATGACAGAGAACAAAATGTTACTGTTCATAACCCAGGTTCTCTGAAAGATCGAGTGGAGAGATCCACCAAGCTTGCCCCGCTGCACAAGAAGCATATATGCCCACTGAGGAAAGGTAGTGCTCCTATCTGTCAAGCCAGACTTGGTACAATTCGATGCTTCTGCAGAGGTCAGATACTGATGCTATTGCCATAGGTGGATCTCTCCACTTGTTGTTTCAGAGAACCGGGGTTATGACCAGTAACTTATTGTTTTCAATGTTGTTTATATAAAAGTAACTGCTTTGAAATATCCCTTATACATTTATATCTACTTAAAAATGTAACAAAACACATCACTTTCTTCTCAGTATCACAAATAAAACATTCAGTAGAAGCTCATACCTCATCTGATCCAGATCTGAAGAAGAGCAAATCAAATGGAATTGCGGCCACCATGTCAATGAGAAACCAGCCTTTGATATAATGGATAGCGATGTGCTTGGGATGGGTCACAACCTCATTATTATGATTCACGTACGTTGTCCTGAAGGTGATCACAATGTCTATGATGAACAGAATGTCCACTATCACGTCTACAACATTTAAAGGGTTACAGGTGTAACCACAGGTCTGTCTCCTCTCCTCCTCCAGCTCATTGATGAGGAAAGCCGCTGAGTATGGAGTAAAGACCGCTGTGTAGAGCACTAGCAGGAGGATGATCCAGTCCCACATGGCTTTGAAAGGACTGTAGTGCAACATGATCCACTTGTGGACGTCTGGAGCCTGGAGCTTGTACTCGGGCAAGACATCAGCACCAAGAGACAGTACCTGTGCATGGAAAGAGATGAGGATCAGGTGCTTTTTTTTTTGCTCAAAGCTGAACAAGAAAGAATAAGATGCGATTTCAAATAAATAACTTCTTACGCATCATCATGTCATCTTCTTTAATGACATGTTAACTGGCGTGAGTGTGGGAAAACCTGTGACTCAAATAAGGTCGACCAATAGCAAACCTCAACCATCCAACAATCCACTCAATTCCCGATGGACAAAATCAAGTCCCATCCTGAATTTCAGAATTTGCACTCAGAATTTGGGCAGACTGATGCATTAAGATTTTGTTTAATAATCAAAACAATATGTGGTGTGAGTGCTTATATCTTCCACTACGAGTTCTGGAACAGGGGCCACAGGGGTTATGGATTTTTGCCATGGCAAAGAGCCATTTCTCTTTCATGTGTCTGCCCTAACGATCTTTCCACGAGTGGTTTTTGGCCACATTGTTTTCCATGTGCCAACTGCTTTTATTATTCAGACATCAACTATCAAGTGCTCGACAATTTTGATTAAAGAGGATCTGAATATGTTGTACAGCAGCACAATAGCCAGAGGTTTTTACAAAAATAGTTTTAATATCAAGATCTTCATCTAAGATATAAAGCAAGCCCAACAATGCAACATACCTGCGTGAACTTCTCTGTCACATACTGTGTGCGCTCCTTCACCTTTGGCGTAACAAGCTCAATGTTGCAGTGTGCCGTGGAGTGATTGGATCGACGCAAGTTTAGATTGAATGAAGGGAATCGGTTTAAGGCTTTCATCCGCTGAGAGCTGGAGGTAGAGTTCCACAAACTTGTCTTCAAGCCTTTATGATAAAAGAGAAAAAAATGGATTTGTAAGACTGGAGAACTGCTTAAAGAGAAAATATCTGACCAGTGGCCTCTAACGACAATGGCATTGCTTGCAAAATTAACATTTGATCCCCCACCCCCTTCCTCTGAGCATCTTATCTACATTTTCTCTCTCATGCAGTCAGTAACACTGAAAACAGTAACTTTGAACAGTAACTTTCCATTGTAACCTGATGATTTACATATCAAGTAAGGTCTGGCTATATAAGGAAAAACAACTGAGAGTTCAGGGCTGCAGTATCGCTCACGTAACCACATGTTGGGTAAAGTTCTTTGTTCTAGGAACATTTGATGGTTTGCATTGATTGTCTTATGGAATTGTAATAATACATTTACCTAAAATAATAAATTGTTATATTTGATTATTCCAACAGACTTTGACTTTATTTTCATTAGAGTTAAAAGGAATAGTCAAACATTAACATATATTTAATGATGCACCGATATCATCAATTCATGGAGTCAGATGAAACGAGTTAATACATAACATTAAATGTTATGCATTTAATTAAAAATCACTTTGCCATGGGAAAGACGGAACACGCGTGAAACCTTCGCCTCAAATCGAACGCCGTCATTGGATCGATTTCGTAGCCCTTACAGATTGAATTCAGAGCAGTGATTTAATGGATGACATTTTACTAAACATATATATAATTTAGTAAAAATGTATGTATATATGAAGAGTTCAGATGCAAAAGCCTCTAAATGCCATTTGAAATTTTCTTCTAAAATGACCATTTTTATCAAGCTTGTATATTTAAGTTCAGTAATTTCACTTAAATGACAATTAATAGGTAATCTTCATTGCCATTTAAGTGAAATTACTGAACTTAAATATACAAGCTTGATAAAAATGATTATTTTAGAAGAAAATTTCAAATGGCACATAGAGGCTTTTGCATCTGAACTCTTCATATATATATATATATATATATATATATATATATAGGCTATAAACAGAAAATACAGTTATTTATTTAAAATGTTTTATAAATATCAATTAAATATTTTTAATTAATTAAAATATTTTAAATATTTAATATAAAATATATTTGATTTAAATTGAATTTATATTATATACAATTCAAAGAAAGATAATGCCCCAAATATTACATTTTGATAGCCTACATTTTATATAAAGAACTATATTGAAATGTAAGAACAAGGAAGGGTTAAAATGAGTTCAGTCTGGAGACTATCAACTTTGTCTTGGATATTTTCCCAGATATCTCAGTAAAAAAAAAACAATACAGTAGACACACAAGTCAATTGCTGATATTCAGGTGTAGTATATTAATGTAGATAGTGTAGCTCAGATAATATGATCTTGGAAGGATTTAATGAGATGCTAGATGTTCTTAAAGTTTGGTATTTTAGAAAATCTAAGCACATGTTAAAAAAGTATTAACCCTAAAACCATTTTCTGGACAAATGTGGGCAAAATAGTATTGATTTATTTAAAAAAAATATATATTTCCCTTGATCTGAGCAGTACAAGACTTGGCTACTTTTCCTACGTTTGCCTCCTGAACACATTCTTTTTGACTCAAATCTACAATGTTCTACAAAGTGGGTGAAAAAAAACTCCTTAATCTTGTATTTGGGTAAAAAATGGGCAAAATTTGAAATGAATGGGAAAATGTAATGTAGAGCATTCTAAAATAAGGCAAAATAAGACACCAGGTGACAGCAAAGTCACTTCATCTTTAGGTTTTAGCTCTAAGAACTTATTGGAATGATATTTTAATGTAGTTAAAAAAAACATAAAATAAGCATAATTTACATAGAAAATGTGGTACTTTTTGAAGTAAATAAATTCAAAAAGACCCCCAAAATAAAAATAAAAACCATAAATGGATAGACAAAACTTTATCGAAGAAATTGATATAACATTTATAATAAATAAAAATTAGGATCACACCTGAGTCCTCTGTGCCCACATTTGTCCACACTTACAGGATTAAGGGCTATAAAGTGAATACGGTTTGAGGGCTACGAACATCTGAAGCACAACAGAATATGAGATTGGTCTTTTTCTCAGGAAGAACTGAGAAGCAGGAGACTACATTTGCATTTACACTTTTAATTTAATAACATTACAGGTATTAAGGAGATCTCTTTTTATTTTCTTTAGATATAAAATGACCTACAGCCCTATCCAAATATATACATTTGAAGAATCAGGCTACTCCCCTTAACAAATGAAAATCTACTTACTACTGTTATAGTTGCTGTTTGTCCCAAATAGTGTTAACTTCGCATTAAATAATAATAGAACACTATTATCATCCACTCATGAAAGCAAATTCTGTATCAGAAATTCCTGTAGAAGTAGCTTCATGTGAAAATCCATCCAGAAATATTAGCAAAATCACATCTTAAACAGTTTTGTGAGATTTTTTTATTTTTTTTTTAATATCCCGTTCCAGTTTGAATTAATGTTCCTCCTGTAAAGAAAGTGTCTTTACTGTAAAGAAGCTCCTCCTACGTCACTGTTGGGGTCTCCGTTCTACATCTGACCTTAACCGAGACACACTCCGCTGTACAGTAAAGTTATATAATAAAATCTCTCTTACCGTGGAAGTGCTGCATTTTGTCAGTTCTCGCCAGGGCAATCTGTTACAGACCCAGCTTCCTATGGGACATAATCCACATGCCCTTCCTGTACAAACACATTGAAATCTCTGATAGGGTCGTCCTCTCTTGACTCGACCCCGAACATCGACAAACAAACCCTCACATGGACGAAAACCTGCCAGTGTTTAACCAGTCAGCTGCATATGCTGCAGACAAATCAATCACGTCACAATCAAACAAGTTCACGAAGGCACAATTATTTCTTATTGGCGTTTTCAGACTATGTTGAATCAACAGAGTGCTTTTGCCTTCAGGATCAACCTCTTACCAGAGAAAAATAAATATGCGAATGGGAAGAGACTCAGTGTAGGATCAATATTCACATCACATATAGATTGAACTCTAGGCCTTTGATGGGGCTTTACATTGACCTATTGGTAATTCATCATTATTCTATCACTAAAGACAGGAAGTGGCCTTGATTGGTGAAACAGGATTTTCTGAGAACTGACTGGCCATGATTTGAGTTACGCACAGGACGCCAAGTTTTGCATATTTATTGCTATATTCATAGTTATGTGTGATAAAATGGAGGCCATTAATTATGACACAAAGTCTAATATCTTCATAGATGGAAGAACTTAATTTTCGTTCAGGTTCTCCAGGGACTTTCGTATTTATGACGAGTGTCACTTAGGTCAGAGCACAATTACAATTAATATTTTCTACAAAACTTTTAACTCTACTTTTACAAAATGACGAATAATGAATCTCTATATTTTTGGTGTTTTTATTCAATTTATGAAGGTGCTTTAAATTGAATCGTAATTGTACAATACTGTCATATTTTGTACATGCAAATTAGTTTTATTTTAAATAAAAAAAAATATACATATAATTTCAATAATTAATAGTCATTGCTATTGTATCCCTCATATTTTTTCACTGCCACGGTTCCAACGCAAAGTTCAGTTTCCCACTCGTAATTACAACATTGTGGACCAACCTTTCATGTGTTTTCGACTCGTAAATATAATCTCTCCGACATGACTTGAACACACTATTACTTATTTAAAGGGAAATTAATTTATGTTTTGTTTTAATTTACCTCAAGGGCATCCAAGATGTAGGTGTCTTTGTTTCCGCGGTAGTTTCAATTTTGACATTTTTAGCTCAAACCGTTCAAGTGATCTGAGGGCGCGGGTGCTCAGTGGCTGTGGTTACAAGAGGTAAAAACGATATAAATATTGTTCGTTTTCTCACACAAACCGCTCGTTTCGTGTCTTAGGCCATCAATGTGTACTTACATTTACGAGTCATTAAATCATGTTTAATTTGGACTTCTCTGTGCATGCTCCTTAAGGTGGTGACCATAGACCTCCATTATATGACTGATAGACAAGAACGGTTTGACCTAAAAATATCAAAATTGAAAATACTGTGGAAATAAAGACACCTACATCTTGGATGCCCTTGAGGTAAGCTAAAACATATCAAAAATTAATTTTAAAGTGAACTATCCCTTTAAAACACAGCTTGTATGTAACATGTTTTTGTTTTTTAAAAAGGAGCAATATATGACCTCAGGACCTTGAATTTGTTTTCTAACATTATCAAAAACACAAAAATAAAAAATAAATTATCATCAAATACAAAAGTTGCTGAAAATATGATACCATAACATGGTAAATGCTCTGCTAGAATACATTTGAAATAATTGTCTGGTTCCAGTGTTGTAGGTTGTGAAGTAATTGCAAAAAACGTGGTGTCAGGTTTTGGGATTTTTTTTGGATTTTTTCCCCCTTTAGCTAATCAAAAATCACTTCATAGTAATACATCCGACAACATTCGCCTCTGAAACAGTGATTACATAGATAGCTGCAGAAAAATACAGTGTCTGCCGAGGTATTAAACCCATAACTAGACAGGCCAAGAATATTATGAAAACTATCAAATGTTTAAATGAGAAATTCAGCCTGAATTTTATCTGAACTATAAACTATCTGAACTATCTGGGGCAGGTTTTTTTCACTTCCTGAGTCATTTTTGCCCCAAGCCACGATTAATTCCTGACCCTGATTCTCACTGTTCAATAAACATTTGCATAGAGCAGCTGTTTTTCCTTTTTTTTCAGATTCTGGGAAAAAAGTAATTGCAAGTTGCCTTTCTATCTCTTTTTATACAGAACTGATTTTCAAAAATACAGTAAATTATTTTACAAAATTCAATTGTGAATATAGTGCCTAATCTTAACTTATAACAAAAGTTTTATGATCAAAACATTCAGGATAATGCAACTCAAAATGATACACATGACTAATTTCTCTTCTTTATTGCCATGATGAAGATATATCAACAAGGTCAATCAAGCATTTAATCATCACACAATAAATCCAAGTAAAGTCCAATCACATTTGGCCGAGCAGGTCCTTCTTTCCAGTTGCTCTTAAGGCATGTAGAGCATTAATTAGTCCATCTATCTGTGACGAACAGAGTAGGGTGAACACTAGTTCTGTATGTGGATGTTATCCCATACCCGGACCACATCAGGGTGGTCATTGACAGCCTCCAGCAGGGTGAACGCTGTCTCAAGCTGAGTCTGAGTCAGGAGAGAGGGGGTGTGAGGAACAAACTCCAGTCCGGCTGACAGTGTGTGAATGCCCAGACTTTCTAGAGCTTCCCGCACAGCCTTCATAGACGTCAGGTCACAGACAAACTGAAAGGGACAGATGGTTATTAATAATTGAGACAATTTCTCCTGACAGAAATATAACATCACTGAAATATACAAATTAGTCCCGGTTTTCTGTCAATTCGTGCTACCCATCGAGATTTGCTACTTACTGGTTATGCGCATGTGCAGACTCAGTTTTTTAACAAAAGGAGGTCAATTTTCATCTGCTATAATGTCATTTCCCTTTAAAAAATGCTAACTACCATATGAATATTTGTAAGGTAAGCCAGCTGAACAAGAATAACTGAAAGTATTCAATTAGTGCTTTGACAAGTCAAAGATGAATATTTGATGATAATTTTTACTTTTCACGTTTTAAAAATAAAAACAGTAGTCTACACTATACAGTAGCTACTCATAACTTAGAATTGTATTATAATTGTATTTCATATAATATTATTCAACATTTTCTGTGATTGATTCGCATTCTCACGACGTTTTTCACTGCGTGAACATGCAGTTCAGAAATCCGCCTCACAAACAGCTCTCCAGTGACAAAAGTTCTTTTTTTATCTCACTTTAACAGTTAAAAACACGCGAAATTATGTCAAAACTCTGGTCTTGGTGAGTAACCTCGTATCAGTTATGTCTTAAATAAGCAAAACGCGTGTGACAGACAGTAAAATGAAACAGTAATAGATCGGTGCAAAGTGAACGCAGCCATATGCGTCTGTCATTAATTCTGTTGTCATAACAACATAATATAGCATTAATTATAAGCAATCTGAATTAATAGCCTATGTTTTTAATTCAGTCAGGACTAAAATACTACCCTGGGTTATTTTACATTGGATTACTTTATTCAGTTTCTGTAGTATTTCTGACCTACCCAATTTTTTTTTTCTTTTTAAGTCTCTTTATTTGTGTCTTTATTCTATTGTATTTATTTGTACTACTTTTTTCAATTTTATTCAAAGATTGAAATCAATCTTCCGTGTGTTGCATAAACTCATAAACTAAAAAAATACCCCATTGTAAAAACAAACATTTAGTGAGATCAATGTAATAAAAAATTGTCTATATATTTATTTATCTACATCCATCTTAAACATAAAATAACCTGATCCTGTTTGATCAAGGCGTGTGTCTGTTCTGACTTGTCCAATTTTCAGCATTAATTTTGCATCTTGCGTCAAAATCCTGTCTGTGGCTCTTAATTTATTTGTATTAATTAACCACTTGTAAACTTATGCCCACTGTTCTTTTTATAAATATAGTATTTGTATTACATACATCTATATTCATTATAGTCGAAAATCAAATAGAGAATTGAAATCGAATCGAAATCTAATCGAAATTGAACATCTAAATCGATACCCAGCCCTACTAATAATGTGTTTCTAATGTTACACAAACCAGTCAATCTGCTGCCTTCTAAAATCAGCATCCTTAGAAACACTTTGAACATCATAGAAATTCGGTTGAGAAAGGCCTTTTATAAATTGATATGAAAATAATGTGTTGGACATTTTTGTGATTTACAGCAATAAAACCTTACTTGATGGCTGTTTATTATTTTGACACTATTACAGTATTAAAACAACTATATCATTGTTTATTGACTGATCAGATATATTTAATTAAACCATGCATTCCACATTTCAGAGAATAACTAAGCATAATTAGTCAATTTGTGATAAAACTACAACTTCCTTTGTTTTCGTGACTGTTGTGAATTAATAAATGATCAAACTCCTCTTCCTGTAAATCCAATTTAAATGTCCATCTTTTTGGGACATGTTTGATGAATTTGAAGGTAGATTTAAATCTTTCGATTTTTAATTTTGTACAATCTAGTTAAGACAGAGTGCTCAGACCTGTAGTATGGGTATCTCCTCCTCATCCTCCGTCTCCTGCACATCTTCAGCTCCTGCCTCAATGGCCAGTTCTAGAGCTTTCTCAGAGGAGATCCCATCTCTGGAGGCTGCCACAATACCTTTCCTGTCAAAGTTACGGCCCGCTCCATCACTCAGCGCCCCGCTGTGGACAAACAGAGAAAAGATGGAGATTTAATAATAGTACTTTTACTTCTTTGCCTACACATCCAGGGCTTAAGCTAGTCCCACACAAAAATGCATGTTTGAGCCATTTTAACTGAAACCAACTCACACTGCCAAATCTTAAAATACGTCAGTGTGAGTTGGTTTATAAAAGCTAATTTATAAGAAAGGCCTAACCCTGGTTTAGTCTAAGCCCTGTCTGTAAAACTAGGCATATACACCTTATACCTACTTATATCTTATTATCTTCCCAACTCATCAGTACTAACCCATGTTTCTTCATAATGTGTTTAAGTTCCCTGTAGGATCGTGTGTGGTTGTCAGTCAAAACCTCAATGAGTAGCGCGCACCCGCCCGGTCCTGTGGCCTCATAAAGATTCTGTACTCCTGGTTTTGACTTCTATTAGACAATAAAAAAGAGTTCCAGTTAATGCTAACATTTCATCAATGCATGATTAACTGAATAGAAAATTCTAGAGCATTTTTGAAAGATTTTATTTTCTAGCGATTGCTGTATGGAAACAAACAGAATGGTATGTAGGTAAGTAAACCATGACTTACAGATATTTTGTAATTTTTGGCGAAACTTTTATTTAAATCGCGTCGAAACCTCATTCTTAATCATATATATATATATATATATAACATATATAAACACACAATATTATGTCTGTTTTTTTTAAAGTCTCTTTGCTCATATTAAAGCTGCATTTATTTGATCAAAAATACAGTAAAAACAGTATTATAACAATTCAAAATCCTTTTATATATATATATTTTTTAAATGTAATGTATGCCTCTTATGGCAAAGCTGAATTTCAGCATCATTACACAAGATCCTTCAGAAATTATTCTAATATGCTGATTTGCTGCAAGAAACTTTTCTGATTATTATCAATGTTGATTATTTTTTTGCTGCCTAATACATACAACCAGAATACATTTTTACCCCCAGGTTTCTTTTTTGAAAAGACTGTCTAAAAGAAAAGCATTTATTTAAAATAGAAATCTATTGTAACATTATAAACGTTTTGAATGCCTTTTTTTGTTCAATTTAATACGTCCTTGCTGATTAAAAATATAAATTTTTTATTTATTTATTTTTCATTGTACTTACCACAAAACTTTGAATGGTACTATAACACAGTTTCCATGAAAATTTTACACAGCAAAAAGTGTTTTCAACATTGATAATAACCAGAAAGGTTTCAGCAAATCAGCACATTAGCACATAGATGTAGAATCTTATATGTTACTGTATATATAAACACAAAATAAAAGTAACTGTGTGAGGGTGAAAACCTACATACGATTATGAAATGTATATAGTATTATTTAGAATAGTAAACTGTGCCTTACAGCTCCTTTTATAGCTCCTTCTATGGTGGCTTTCGGAAGATTCTTGTTTCGACATTGCTCTAGAAGCTGTGCCAATGCAACATTAAATTCTGGTTTGGGTCCTCCATCTGAAACACAAGCACAGGGTCTCAGCAAGCACAAGTGTAATGGAACCACGGTATAGTATACCAGATCACATGGTAAATACTATGTTCATTACATGGGGAAAAAAAGAGCCCTATGGTACATTAAAGAATACCATGGTATTACCATACTTGATGGTTAGTGGCAGATTGGATAATGGCAATTTTTCAGTCAAATCTACCGCATTCACCTCTGACTGCAATCCTAATCATCATGGTGAACTTAGCAATCATACGGGCACGAGCAGCATCTTTGGGTATTTTAATGTCCTTCACTTTGGACCATTTGTTGTGTCCTGCCCAGAGCTCAGGGCTCGAGTGCAGAGCTCTAGCTGGACACTGACAGGCTCTGTGAACCGCTGAAGACACTCTCACTGTCAGCCTGAAAGCGCTCAGCATCATGTGTCCTTCCTTCTCCACAGAGATATGTGTCCAAAATCAAATGACTTTGGTCGAACTTTAAAATGTCGTGCTGTAAGGCTTAACTTACAGGTCTTGAGCGTCAACATGCACGTCTTAACCATAGACTGGATAGTGATTGAAACTGGATAGTTTCAATAATGTTTTACGACAGTCATTCAGTATATTCTGTGCTCGTTATCAGTGTTAAATAAACTAAATGGTAACGTAAAATTATGACATAGTTCTTGTCTTCTGCAGTTTAGCAGGGCTAATTTATCCCACACGAGCACAAGAGAAAGCAACACTGCAAGCGTCATTACCGGTGAACAAACTAATGCCAAAATAAAAGTCCTTAAGTGCGCTCGTATGGATCGTTCTCAAATTTTTAATGTGTTTAGAATTCTTCATTCTATTTTTTTTCCGGTAATATATTTCACTCCACATTCTACAGAAAGTTAAAATTAAAATGGTATAATATAATATAATATAATATAATAATGCAATTTTATAAATAATGTAGCTATACATATCCTATAGGTAAAATAGGTTACAGCTCAGTCATTATTATAAATTGTTAACTAGCGACTAGCCAATAAGGAAGAATATGCAGAAACTTAATGGCAGGCCATATATATATGTATGTGTGTGTGTTCTTTAAATAATTAGGGCATTTAAGTAGATGTTATAAACGTGTTTAAAACCTTACACAATACACTGCGGTGCATCATGCAAACAATGACACTGACATATTTTAAGATAAGTTGCTTTCAGAATACCTTTTATTTTATTAACAATTCTTGTCTTACACTGATAAATAGGCTTACTCACTGAAAAAAAGAAGAAAACAAGTTAAATTTACATCATTTTTCTTTGGCACATTTTTGAAGGCATATTTTTTAAAGTAAATTTGGAAGTAAGTAAAATCTAAAAAAATCTCAGTTAAGTGAAAGCAACAAAGAAAAAAGTCATTTCAACTTGGCTAGTAAAAGGTTGAGTAACATCTATTTAGTTTAAGTTTCCTTTGGAATACATTTCACTCAAACAATAAAAAATTGACTTTAACCATACATTTAAAGTATAATTTCCTTTACTTTGAAACATCTAAGTAACTAAAACAACATAATATTGTGTGAGACACCATATCAGTGTAGAAGTTAAATGTCATGTGACTCAATACAGACAATACACACTCGTTTTTGTGTTTGAATGTGTCATTTTGAGTAGAAAATGAACTCCAAATTTCACAAAATGGCAAGTTACTAATCCTAACAACAAAAGCAATGATAAAACAGTGTAAATACAGCTGGAAAACAGCAAAAAAAAAATCAAAAAAAATCAACATCATTAAATATAAAGTTGAGTAAATTAATTTACTTAATTTTACAACATTGATATTTGTGCCTTCATTTTGTCATTATGATTTGCTTAGTTTTTTTAATTCTTGCCTGAACTTACTTTGTCATGTAAATTACATTAATTTTTTTCATACGTTTTTCTGTAGTTCTTACTTCACCAAAAAATAGTTATATAATAAGACATTATATAAAAAAATATTTATATAATAAATCATTTTTGAGTGTTCGCTCATCTGCAATACGTCTAGCCTATAGGACGTTTCCTGTCATGTTTTAGCGTTTAGAAAATGTCTTTAAGATGTTTATGATTTAGAACGTATGTAAAACTGACATGTTAAAGACGTCTTATCAGATGATAATTAACAGCAGATGCTTTCCAGAATCTTGCAGCATACCTGGGCTATCCGGACATGTCCTAACTCCTGATGTCAAGCATTCACCCTTTTACAGCACATTTAGTTCACAAACAAATAACAGTCATGACCTAAATATGATTTTCATTTATAATAGAGCCTAAAATTAGCACTTAAGCTCCAAGGATCTCCCGGTTCTTGGATCATTTTGAGTTTGTTGACTGGAGACTTGATCTGACTGATTGAATTAGTGAGATGTTAACTGGAGAGCAGATGCAATTGAATTGGTCCAATTCACAAATTAATCGTGATTAGACATAGTTCAAAAGATTGAGCTCGTTCACGAATCCGACACAGCTATTCGCGTCTCAGAGCGAGTCACGATTTCTCGAAGTTAACTCAAACTAAAGCTAGAAGAAGTTTTTCGTTAGGCTACACTCTTAGAAGAATAGGTTCCATCAACGCTACGTACAGTATTTGGAACCCCTAAAAGGTTCTATACAGAACCCTTTTTAAAGGTTCAATAATAAGAACCCTTTTAAGGTTCTTTGTAACCAGGAAAAATGTTTATGGAACCTTTTGGATTCATTCATAATCATTTGTTTTGTCCTTTCCGGATTAAATATTTCATATTATTAACAAACATCAAGACCCTAAAATGTATTTATAAATGCATGTGAATGATCACAAAATTCAAGATAGGGGGGTTAGAAATCTATATATTTATTTCATTTTATGTAGTTAATCAAAATCACACAAAGAGTGCCATTTCAGTTTTTCTCCTCCAAAAATCAGCATGATTAAAATGTGATATTAAGTTACTACAACGGTTTAATTAACAATAATTTAATTACAACTACAAAATGTTGCAGAATAATGTAATATATGAATGAATAATAGCCTATAAAGAACCTTTGTGTCAAAAGGGTTCTTTCTTGTCATTTTAGAACCTTTTTAGCATAAAAGGTTCTTTAGAGTGGAACCATATATAGAACCCCAATGAACCCTTTTTTATAAGAGTATAGCCTACATGAAAAAAAATGAATGTTATAAAATAAATTGTATAAAAAACTGAAACTTCTTTTATTTCACACTGTAAAAAAAATATTGATGGTTTAACTTTAAAAAGTAAGTAACCTGGTTGCCTTAAAATTTTAAGTTCATTGAACTCGAAAAAGTGAGTTAATACAATGAAGGAGAATGATTTAATCATCAGAAACTCAAAATTATATGTTATCTGAACTAAATAAATTATTTAAGTTGATTTGACAAAAGAAAAAATGTTGTGATTACTACACTGTAAAAAAATATTGTTGGTTTAACTTAAAAAAGTAAGAAACCTGGGTTGCCTTAATTTTAAGTGGATCGAACTGGAAAAAGTGAGTTAATAAAATGAAGGAGATTAATTTAATAATCAGAAACTCAAATTAATAAGTTATCAACCAAATAAATTATTATAAAGTTGATTTGACAAAAGAAAATATGTTGAGATAATAAATCTTGAAAATAATTTTACTGAAAATGAAAACGTTTTGAACGTTTTGACAACTTGATGTATTAACATTAAAACTGAAATAAAATGAAATAAAACTATAAACACATATTAAGAAAGAAGGAAATACATACACAGACACACACACTAATTCAAAATATTAGTAAAAACTATAATAGTGTATCCTAAGAAAACTGTTTTGTTTTGTTCTTTGTTCTCTTCACACAAAGCCAGGAAATACAGTAAGCAGCCATGGATATTGTAGATGCAACTAGCCAGTTATTATTACAAAATAAACTTGGTCAGGGTTATCTGGTTTCAAGTGTCACACTGTTTATCCTACTTGTGACTACATTCATGTTAGTAGAAAAAGAGCATGCAGGGATACAAGTGCCTCAGCTCTACAACTTATAAATATTTGAATATAGTCACAGTCTAGTATACCAAGAGCCACATATAAAGATGTATGTGCAGGAGTGGGCTTAGAAAAATAGAAACCTTTGTAATTAGGAGGGTCTTTGTCTTCTCATGACAGTGAAGGGTTAACATTCTTCATGCCCACCCCACATGATAAACACAGTGGTGGAGCCCAACAGCCGAGGGCCAATGATGACCATCACACTAAGAACCTCGCCGAACACACACTCACGTGCTGGAGATCATATCTCTACAATGGCAGACAAGTCTCTCTTTAACAGATCTCCAAATGAAAGTCTCATCTTCAATCAAGGATAAGAGTTTAGAAGAAGACAAAAACAAGACTCGGAGAAATGGAAGAAAATCTTCTTTGATGGGTAAAGAGCGTTCATTTGTCATCTACTACTTGTTTTTTTTTTTTTTACTTTATATAAAAAAGAGGGTGATTTTACTTTTTTTTTTGCAATTTGCCTACATGTAAGTGTATCCAGTTATTCCATAAATGAACCTCAGCTAAAACAACGTACTGTACTTGTCAGACTCCAACAGATGAATCACTGGTGGACACGGCAGCGTCAGAATAACAATAAATCGGCGACAGACTTCTGTTCTTTGCACCTCGACGAGACGAGCATGTCCTGAAAAGTAAAAAGAGCTCTCTGGTGAGCAGAAGTTCTGGAAAAGGTCAAAGGTCTTGGGTTAAGCATGTTGTCAGTGGAGGTCGCCGTGGCTTTTGTGCTGTGCAGTGTGCTGATGAAAGCCAGAGCTCTGGTGAGTACGCTTGCTTTATTCATAACGAAACGTAATACTTAACAACTAATACTGTGCATGGGGCCAATTTGCACACATTTGGGTTGCACTTTATTATACGCACACATGGTAATATTTAATCCCCTAAACCCAACCTTAATATAACTACATTAAGGTTGGGTTTAGGGGTAGGTTCAGGGTTATTATCTAGTCATTACCCAGTTATTATAATTACTATAACAAGTATGTACATGCGGAACAGGCCTGTAAAATATAGCGCTTTACCCACATTTGTTGTGGAAAAAGAATTGTGTTAAAGAAGTGCGTGCACTGTAAAAAATATTGTTGGTTTAACTTAAAAAATGAAGTAACTTGGTTGCCTTAAAATTTTAAGTTGATTGAACTGGAAAAAGTGAGTTATTACAATGAAGGAGATTGATTTAAGTGTCAGAAACTCAAAATAATAAGTTATCTCAACTAAATAAATTATTTAAGTGGATTTGACAAAAGAAAAAATGTTGTGATAACAAATCTTTTTACGTAGTCAGCTCTTAAAAGTGTATTTAAAAAATAGGCATTAGCTGACAATATAAAACTCATTAATATTATATTTGTCACGATGTAGTCCATGAATAAAAATGATGAATAAAAATCAGACAAAGTTTATTTAAAAAACTCAAATATAATTCAAGAAGCGTATAGTGTGTAAAACAAAAGCAAAAGTAAAACAAAAGTGCCCTGCTTGAACTAAACTAAATTTACAAAGGCAAATGAGGGACAAAAGATTATCTTTAAGTGTGTTTTCGACAATGCATTTACATAAAAAACAATATTCATTAGCTAATGTCACATGTATGTTCTGTTTTCATTTGGTTCTCATGTGTTGTGTTTCTTGTTGGCTTCTCCGTGTGTTCTATTAGATCAGTCATCTTTGTTTCCCACCTGTTTGTTTCCATAGTTACTGATTTAATTAGAGTTATCTGTTCAGGTGAGTCTAGTAGTCATTACTAATCAGTGTTGTAGTCGAGACCACCTCACTCGAGTCCGAGTCGACACCTAGTCCATAGAGAGTCGAGTCCGAGTCGAGTCCGAGACCAGAGACGGTCGAGACCGAGACCAGTGAGGGTTGATTACCTAATTTACTTTTATTTACTTCGAGAAATCTTTTTTTTTACTGAATTTACTTGGAGTTTAAAAAATATGATCAGTTTAGGGTAAAAAGGCCACATAGTAGGTGGTGTTAAAAGTAATTTTATTACAATTGGTCATACGCAGTTGCGCACTAGAAAATCACCAATCACTGGGCGTGTCAATCAATTTAAAGAAATATTTTATTAACATACATTAATAATCATGAAAAATATTTTGAATTGAACTCGAGTGGACTCGGGAATAATTCCGAGTCCTAAAAAAAAAAAATGTTCGAGTACGAGTCAATTCCGAGTCCAAATGGACACGAGTCCATGACAAGACCAAGACCATTAAAATATGGTCTCGACACCGAGTCCGAGACGAGTCCGAGTCTCGAGTACTACAACACTGTTACTAATTCTGCGGCAAGAATTGTGACAGTTAATATTGTACTGTTTATCTGTTTTGTACCTTTGTAATCCACTGACAACCTGAATCAAAGACCCCGTTTACACCTGGTATTAAAATGCGATCTGTATCCAGATAAGTTATCCGGATAATAAAAAACGCATGTTAATGCAAGGTGTAAACGCGTTGTGATCGGATCTGCCTGACCACATCTGGAGGTAGTCTGGCTCGCATTGTGTCCGGATCTTTACTAGGTGTAAACGCAATCTGGTTGTTGAAACCACATATGTATATTTTACTCCTCCCAAAAATGCTAAAAAATAAACGAGTGAGAGCGTGTTATATAGGCTATATGTCATGTTATAGCCTAGTCAGATGCGACACGCATCACCGCAGATGAGCAGCTGAGCGTCTATTCAACGTGCAAACATCGCAAATAAAAGTGAAAGTAAGTCACAGACGCAGTTAACACATCTTCAAGTAAAGAAACGAAATTATCTTACCAGGCCTGTTGCCACTCTCTCTTATTGATGTCTCTGATTTGGAAATTAGCTGATGATCAATAAAATGCCGCTCAGATCTGTTGCTTTTGGTGGCGTGCAATCCAATAAATCTGCATATAACGCAGGAGGTGAAGATCGGATTTATATCCGTTTTGCAAAAACACATTTATGTGGCCAGGTGTAAATGGAATCAGTACTTATTATCCGGATAACTTATCTGGATACAGATCGCATTTTAATACCAGGTGTAAACGGGGTCAAAGTCCGTCACAAGCAGCTTTTCCTCGAGCTGTGATGGTAAAAAAGGGGGCAGTGTCATTCTATTAAACACCATCATACACAAGACACTAAAGTAATGCAGCCAAATAAACAAGTAACATATCTGAATAGAAAAAACCCTAAGAAACAGTTATTTCAACAGTGTCAGACAGCGAATTTTGGGAATGTGAATTTGCATTTTTTTTTTCTCACGGCAAATTATACAATGACTTGTTCTTTTTCACTTTCAAAACGTGTACACTTTACTGTAAAATTACATTAAATGTCAGGTTAGATCTATTTCAGGTAAGGAAAAGTCTTTTTTTTCTTCTTTTTTTTACAGTATAATATTACTTAATCAACAAATGTTACTGTGCACATTCTTATAGAGATATCTAGCACTAACAATCTTCTCTGATGTGACTAAATTGCAAATTGATTTTTTTACTTTAAATCCAGCTTTATAAATCCCATTTAGAATTCATCTTATTCAGGGTCATTTTCTGGTTGAACGCAAATGATCACCTTCAGATGATCGGCTTTCCCAATAATACAGTCGGATCAATGTTTCATCAGACGCACAAAATAGATTTGTTTGGTTTGAGAAGACCACTGACAGGGCAGTGTGTGTGAGAATCCCCAGTGAAATCACTCGTCAAAGAGAGAAAATGACCTTTCCCCCCCTTCACTCTTTTATTTCACTCGCTCTTTGAAGGTATAGGTAGCAAGATTTTGCATTTTACAATAAGGTTTCATTTGTTAACATTAATAAACTACATAAATATAAAAAATGTGAATTTCTATTTTTACTAATACGTTATAAAAAAGCTAAACTTGAATTAGTCGATGCATTGTGAACTGACATGAACATGCACATTAACAAAGATTAGTAAATGCTGGAAAAAATATATATTGCTCATTGTTCATGTTTGTTAATGCAGTGTTAATAAATGAGACCTTATTGTGAACTAAAGTGTTAGCTTAACATGGTATCAGCAAATTAAAACTATAGGAAGCTCCTTTGTTTAGCAATTTGTCTTGGGTGTAAAGAGATATTATCGTTCAAGGTTGTGCATGTCCTATATTTCTTGTTAATGAGTAAAGGAAAGTGTGTCTCTTTGTTTGTGCTGTCAACTTCACCAATGCATGCATATGCTCAATGAAGCAGAAAATTAGTCAGTCAGCGAGAGATGAGCACTTGATAAACAAGCAATTTAGACCCTGGAAATCGCAATTGATCAAGAGCACTAATTTCACCTTTGCTGGAGAAGGCAATTAGAATTAAATGTGTTCAGTGTTCTGGATATCATCTATCAAGATGATACCCTTACAAGTGTTGGTAACTCAAATCACGGCAGTAACACAAATCAATTTTTACGAATCGATGACATTAGATCATCTGACAGTGTGATTCATCAATGCCTATGCTTTCCAAAGGTAAAAAACGACAATCAAATGTGACAGTTGGTAATTGCAGTTTCAGTAAGTGTAATTTCAACTGTAATTTCACTTGCTCCCTGTGGACTAATGTGAAATGTTATGCAGTGATTTAAATGCTATGTGTCTTGAAGCATTGTATTTGTAATTAGTCATTTCGAGTGTTGTCCAATTTCATTAGTGAGAAACACCAACACACATTTTGTGATGCTACTAGAAAATAAATAAATATCTTCGTTCTGTTAGCTTTTATAAATGTGCCTTAGATAAAAACATTACTGATGTGCATTTTAAAACAAAACAATAACACTGACATATTTAAAATATTTCAAGCATTTATGGTAAACTACAATATAATGTAATAACCTATGCCATTTTTTTAAAATATATTTGTAATTGTTGCAAAACTTTCAATTTAGTACTATTAAAATATTAACTTTGAATGTAATATCAAATAATGCAATAAAGTTATATAATCAAGTGCTTTACATGTGCTTTAATGTTAGTCAACATATCAAAATATGTGTGCATTTTTAAAGCATGACGTTAAAGATTATTTAAACATAATTCATTAAAATGTACCTTTTATTTCATATATTATTGGCAAAAAAGTTACTTTTAAGATTTGAAGTTCACTACAAGTGCATTTTCAATACAATTAAGAGCACTTTTTCTCCACAAGGGAAATCATTCCAATAAAGTCAAATGGCTATCGAACAGAATGAGACAGGCTTGATTTATTCATCGTTTGTAGATTGGATTTTAAGCCGTGAACACTTATAAGGCATTTATATAGTGGTTTCATATGTACTATTGTACACCCAAAGCGCTTTACAATCATGAAAAGGAAGGCTTACTGCGCTTCTGTAAATTGCCAAACGATCCGGTGCAACCAGGGCAGGACAATACCAAACAGAAATCACCGGTGCAAAAATCTTCTTGATAACAAATTTATACTTTGCACCTCTAATAAATTTGTTATCAAGAAGATTTTTGCACCGGTGATTCTCCCTTTCGCTTTACAATCATGTCAGGGGTCTCTCCTCCACTACTACCATGGCACCAGTGCCCTCACCACACACCAGCTATAGGTGAAGCCCCAAACACCTCTGACATTTTCAGAAAAGGCCAAAAAAGTTGGCGTGTAAAATTCGGACAAACAGGTATAAAAGGTGCCCTGCGTGCTTTACACATTCAGGTTTGTGCTGAGGAGAGGAAACGGAAAATGACAAATTAAGCTAAGATGTTTCACAACCTTCAGGGTAACTGATCTCGGGTCTCCCT